TGATGACCCAAAAACAGTTCTTTACACACACACACAGTCTCTCTCACCCCTCCCCCCACCCCCCCCTTCAATTCAAGATACAGCCACAAAAATGCAAACTTCCACTCCTTTTTACAAAGCTACAAGAGCTGCCACTCTGTCCATTATTCTGCCTGCACCGCAGGTTTGTAATTAGGATGCTTTACCACCGGTGCTTCAGTTCTTATCTAGCATCATTCACAGAGTTTCGTGTCTTTGCAGCGCTGTGCCGAGCAGCTCAATTTTATTTCGGTCAAGCAGTTTTCAGGGATTTTATGCTGTGCAATCTCAACGCATGCACACTCCTTACCTCCTCCTCCTCCTCCTGCTCATGTTGCTGAGCACCACAGAGAAGACAGCATGATAGGAGTCCTAAGAATAAGTTAAAGCTTTTCTGAAGATATTAATAGATTTAGGACTTGTATAAGACATTTGCTAACCCGGGGGAGGGGGGAGGAAGGGAAGGGGAATGGTTTCAGTAAATAAGACTAATAAACGGATTGTACAGATTATTCTCCATCTCTCCTGAGACCACCTATTCTGCCTTTTTGGAAATATTTTTCCTCTATTTAACAGTAAATAAAATCTTTGTAAGCAGCAGGAAGAATTGCCCCTAAGAGAAAAAGCATTGTGCAACAGAGGGTAGAATCGGAGGCAGCAAAAAAATAGTCCTCAAATATATGTACCAGTGTAGGAAAACCTTCATGGATCCTTTTTTTTTTTTTCCTTCAAATGTTTTCATGATGCAACATGCTGTTACAATTTAGTATCCAGAGGGAGTGTGTTGCCTTCTAGAATTTGAGAACTATTGAGGTAGACAGTGCAGACAGTAACCATAAAGGTAACTACAAATATATATTCTTACACCTTAATTGAAAAATCAGAATATTATTGTCTAATTATTTACTTTACAGGCCTAAAATGACCTGGAAGATTAGGTGAATAACTTCATCTTTCAGTTAATAAACTTATCTATTAGTAAAATAAGATTTTTAATTGGTATATTGGTAATTATCTAGAGATTTTGATCTTTGTCATCACCTTAAATGAATATAGTAAATTAATGAGATATTATGAGATAAAAAAAGAAAGAGGAATAAAGTAAAATAGTTTAATTTTTTCGAGTCTCTCACATAAACAGATATGAACTGGCAATAATTGATTAGTATATGTTTTCATTAGCTAACATCTTAAGTTCAAGGACTAGATTTCTATTCAACCTATGGTCCTTTCACCTCTCTTTGGCAGAGTGTCAGGGACTGCATGACACAGCACTTTCTCATCAGAAAAAATCTCTATTTGTCAAAACAAATTAGTTCTAATCTGTGTTACGGAAATATCTGTTTCTAGGCAGTGGTGGCAGGAGAAAGCATCTCAGCTCCATTTCAGCCCAGGGTTATGCTCTGTGGGAGCAACCAATCTCTGGCTCAGAGCTCTCGCTCCATTTGATTTAGGCAAGAGTCTGGACATAGTCTTTGCTATTCCGGTGAGTCTCTAAATCCCTTTTTTTGAGTGCCCATCAGCTGTGCTGGAGGGAGTCTGTCTGTCTGTTTTGGAGTTGTTCCTTTTTGTGTCATCCCTGACCCTCACTCAGGCAGAGGGCTGATACCCAGGAACCGTTCATGTGCTCTCATCCTTCCTTGCTCATTCTTTCTTGCTTGCTTTATGGAGAAATAACTAAAAAAGAAAGGTCTTGATGAATTGCAGTAAGTAATGGGGAAAGGTTTGCAGCTCAGGAAAAGTTTTCTGTGCAGCTTAGTGCAAGTCCCACACAAAGACAGTTTTGAATAAAGAACCAATGACTTGTGCCTGCACTTTAAGGACCCTTTTACACCTTCAAAGTGACGCAAGAAGTTCCAGAAATGACAGGGCTCTGGTCCAAAGTGTTTCTGCCATATTTCCTTTTGTTGGCTGCTTGTTAAGGTGGAAGTAGGGAATAAAAAATACCAGAAAGTGCTGTGGGACTGTTCGTTTATTTGTTTGCTTTTCCCCTCTCTCGTGCTGCCCCTCCTCTCCTGATTTCAAACTCTTCTAAAATAACTCATCCTCCCGCTCTCAGAGGGGCTGATGTTTGGGGGTCTCAACTGGGACCTTTCCTCTCCGTTGGTCAGGCCCCGTGTCAAAGCACTCCTGACTCCTGGGAAGTCAGCTCTGCTGAATCCTGGGGTTTGCCAGTGCCAGTCAGCTGCTGTTTGAACTAAGTCCTGACCGCAAAATCAAAAGTGGGTCCAAAGAAAGCTGTAAACAGTGTGCAATGAGCCATTTGAAGGCAGCTGATGCCTCATTTGGGGTGACATGTTGTGGCTGATGAGTGTGGATGATGTGGGGTTTTCGATAAGTGCCTCATCAGTATCCTCATCATGATCGTGTTGCTCAGCCACGGCGTGTGCCCTGACTTGATTGTAATTGCCTGAATCTGCTCCTGCTGCTCAGGAGCGCACAGTAATATGCAATAAAACAGCAAGAAGTGAATGTTAACCATCTGAGTTCTGACATGGCTGCTTGCAGTTCAAGTTTTCCATTAAGGACAAAAAAATCTATATAGACATACAAATATGGATATATAATTGCATGTTTAGAATAATTATTGTTTGTATATGCAATAAACTCATTTTATAAATAATGTATGATGGTCATATACAGATAAATAAGTAGATGTGTTTATATACATCTTCCCCTGACCCCTGTCTATACTGTGTACAAACGAACATCACATGCTCATGGTCTGTAGGTAAAGAGCAGAGGGATGAAAAGCATCAGGATCATACTTAGAGTCAAATTTTTAGAAACCTAAGGAGAACCTGTAGCTAAATCTATGCATAATCTTCATGCATCTTAATAACACGTGTGTGCATACAGATAAGTAATTAATTTTTAGATGCAGTTAATCTCCTCATGTAAATGTGTGTGTATGTGTGTGTGTATGTGTGTGTATAATTGTGCAGGTGTGTCTGGGGGGGGTAAGGTACACATGCATATATACTTTGTAGCACTAAATTAGTCTTTGGAGAGAACACAATTTATTTTCACAAGTTAACTGGTTTGGATTAATTCTGTTGCAGCACTGGCTGGAGAGAAAAAGAAAAAAACCCAAACCTTAAGCTTCTGACCTCTATGCCTGTTACGTCTGACCATACAAAGTACTGAGAATTTATGCCAGGGGGAAGCCTTTCAGATCAGAGACCTTTTGTAAGGTGGGAACTGTCATTACTCTGTTGGGGTCCCAATGCATGAGAGGGGCTCCAAGGCAGTGTATTCATGCCCATCTGTGGCATGGATGTTGTTGCTGAATTTAAAATTATTATCAGCTTTGGTAATAGGTCAGAAAAGTAACAAACCAAACAGATTATGGTTGTATAATTGTATCTGGTGTCTCAGATACACCTTTGCTTTGGAGTTCCTGTATGTAGCTAGTTTTTTTTAGCATAGTTTGGGGAACATTTAAATAATAAATTTAAACAGGAAAATTCTATTTGCATTCAGTTAATGCTTGATGGATTGAACATGTGGGTTTTCCTCATCTCCACTGTGTTATTTAAGCATTTCAGTAAAAGTGCAAAAAAAGGTCTTGAAAATGTTATTTGCAGCTGTTGTTGCTACTGTGCATCGTCCTGCCTGCTCTTTGGCTGCATACGGAGAGTACTGCTGGAAGGTACGGGTCCTGCTACACCGAGATAGAAAGATCAGTGTTAAAGTGAAGGTGGATAAGAGATTGTTATTTGCAGACCAAAATCACCAGGGCATAAGAGTTTTTAAACCCTTTAAAAATAATTCTCTTTCTACAATTCAAGTGAAATTTGCACTGTCTTGGAAATGTCCTTAAAATCTTCATTATAGAGAAGAAATCTGTACAGATTAAACACTCTAAGTCTGACCATTTGAGAGGTAAGACAATCACTATAATTATAAATACTTCTGTTGTCATGTGTGATCAAGTGGTTTCGCTGTTGTAGCTTAAATATATTAACTTTAACCCTTTTTAATTACGGATTTAGCACAATGGTGACTGAGTCCCTCCTAGAATCCGGCAATCACCCCGGGCCTCTCTTTATGCTCAAAATATGTAGACTAATAGAGAGAAATTCCAAGGAGGATAGAAAACATGACTGAGAAGTTGGAAGGATTTTTTTACGAGGAAAGATTAGGAGAATGAAATGGGGAGCTTTAGTTAAATGGGATTAAAAGCAACTAATCTGCGTGGCTTTTATAGTTTCAAGGGATGAAACCCATAATTCCTCTTAAATTAACTATGCTTCATTCTTCAAGCTTGTGTATCAGATATCTGATTACTGCTTTACTTATTAAAGAATAACTTCTACTATCAACAATTTTGATTTTTCATAATTGTAAGAAAAGAAACTGTTCAGAGGAGCAAAATGATAACAAAGGGATGGGTTATAACTGGGGACAAGCATACAGAGTGTTCAGATGAGGAATGGCATTGCTTGACTTGGTAAATATTGATTCTGACTATCAGGAAAGAGAATTTTTTAAAGCTAACGATAGCTGGGCACAGGCCCAGACTTCCTCTCAGTAGCACCTACAGGTAGCAAAACAGTTTTTCAGAAGGGATTCTAGGATCTCCATTGCAAGAAACACAGATTACCAGTTTGGATTAAGAACCGGGACAAGATTTAGCAGTGAGAGCAACCTGACAGACCCAAGTTACACAGTAATTCTTGAATTTGGTAATTTTTCTTATTTTTTTTTTTTTTTAATAAAATATGCATTGCCTCACATGCATACAGACAGTTTTGATGTGATTTATTATTATAATTAGAAACTATCTTGAGAAAAATTTCATTATGAGTTTTTCCAGGAACTTTCTATACCTTCAGAAAGGGGCAGCATGTGTCTTAAAAATTTCTTATACTAACCTAAATTAATCCAAAAGCAACAGCTTTATGCAAACATAAACCAAAATTAATGCAATGATGAATTGGGGCCCACATCTTGGACCTTTCTGAATCCTAAATAACAAACAAATACAAGGAAGATGTGGTTTGTTATGAACTGGATATTTTTTTAACTTTACAGGATTAATGGATCTTCACAAGAAAAGTTTTCTTAAGAGATGGAGGATAAACAATTCTTACAGATTGCAGTTTCTACTTGAAACACATCACAACAAAAACAGGTGTGTTTTTTTATCCTGGAAAGTTTTTGTAGCATCAGGATTCCTTTGCAAAAAAGAAATACTCCCTAATAATAAGATAGAGAGTATTAAAAAAATAAACAAACAAAAAACCCCCACCCACGATGAAAATCTAAGATTCAGCATAAATCCATTGTAAAAATCATATTTCTAGCTCTTGTGTTCATGAAAAAATGCAGTGGTCCAGATTCTTGTTCTGTATCTTCTAGATCTCCTATCTAGTCCTGTCTGTGCCAGTTGGGATCAACCAACTTGGTGGGTTTGGATGCCACTTCTAACTCCAACCCAGTGTTCTGAGCCTGTCTGGTATAGATATGGTAATGGAGCACTTGTTGATAAATTATCAAATAAATCCTGCCAGATCTAAGCTGGGCTGCAAATTCATCCTTCCCTCCCTGCTATAACCCTCCATTCCTGCAACAAACATGATACTACCCCCAATTTTGTTTTCCTCTGCTCAAGCTATATTACCAGAAGGGTGCAAGAAACTGTCCTATGGGCAAGATATGCTCAGCAGTCTTGAAACAAAAGAAATTTCCTGGGATTTGATCTTTCTCAAGTCAGCACAGCAATGACCATATAAAGAGTTAATTGTTGATAATGGGGAATTTAACGCTGGGTAAGAAGATAAAAATACGATTGTCCAATAGTAACGTTAGAAATCATTCACATCTCTTTGCAAGTTGAAAAGGATATTTGATTTACAAAAAACTTCTTATTTTTTTTTAACAAACAGTAAGTTCAGAATTAAATTTGGAATTAAATTCTTAGTTATTCAGAATTACATCTTTTTCACAGTATATTTGAAGGTTGCAAGGAAGAAATGTGTGCATGCTGCACCCCCAGGCACCATTGGTACAGCTGTATTCCTGCTCTGGAATGACTCTGCTAAAGCCAGCACAGAGGAGGGTGATTTGTGGCCCATCTTCTCCAAAGGAGTTTCAAGCTCTCCTTTTTACCAGGCCTTGTTTTTCTGTTCAGAGCAGAGCCTGCTGCACACCTGCATCTGACTCCTTGCCACCACCACATAAGGCATCTCTCAGAACACCAGCAGGGCTGAGGGGGCTCTTATGAACCCTTGCCCACCTTCTGTACAAACCCCCAAATATTATGTTTATATTATATACACCAGCAACATCCATCTCCTTCTCGGAGTGCTGCTGGCATGGTCCCCAGGCAGGGGCTGCACCTGGCCAGGCACACTGTGCTCAGAGCAGGGAGCAGAGCTCAGCCTGCACCACGGTGCACAGCACACAGTGTGCAGCTGCACTCCAGGTGAACTTTTCTCTTTCTAAATGATGGCAAGGGAAGGGATTATTTTTGCCTCACTGTGGCAAATGTTCTGCCTTCACTCTGAACACATGTCCCAAATATTTCCATGTTCTCAAGATAACTTCAGAGATAAGGGGTTATTTGACTCTGCCAAATTGTGGCATTTGTTCTACATGATGTATAACTAGCAAATATTTACACGATTAACATCTGAATTCAAGCATACTTTAGTAGTACAAAGATGTGATTAGATTTTTTAATGGACATGGCTCCCACTTTCCAGCAAAAATTTAATAGCTGAGTCCTGCGGGGAAGTCTCCATTACTGAACTTTTATAGCTTTAAAAATATCCTAGGGTACATTTTCTAGCATGCAGAATGGCACAGCACGGAATTTAAATGAAATACTGTATTAAAAATGAATGAACAAAGTGTATATTGTCACTACCCTCATCCTTTCCTTCCTTGTAGAGCCAAAATCATGTAAATGACTGGTACTGACAATGGGCATGGCCCTGGTGGTTGGAAGAAACATCATTTTTTTTCAGCCTGAAGATCTGGAATAGGGTGCTAAGAGGCTCTGAGCATGCCTTTGGGGCACCTCCTCCGCCTTTTCCACTCCACTGGAGACCTGCTGGCATCTCCAGAATGCAGTGACGAGACACAGAGGCAACAGGCTCACATAGCTGTTTTACAGCTTCCTCAATCCCAGTGTACACAGGTAGACAGGGGCAGTGGCAATGGCATGGGCCTTTCCCTTTTGCCTGAACATGTGCATCTGTGGCTCCAGCTCGGTGTGGGTGTCTCTCACCCCTACCAGGTACCCTGAGGGTTCTGGCCTCCCAGTACAACAAGCTCTGGTAAAAGTTCCTGAGCTGCGGGAGACAGCCATTGGGACTTCCCATAAATTTCTCCCAGTTTGGTTTTTAACCAAATGTACCTTTTCTGCGTTCACACTATTGCCCTCAAGATCAATGGTGGCTCCCAAGCTGCCTACAAGAGGGCAAAGGTTAATTTGCCCATCAATGCAGTTGGAGATAGAGAAATTAAAATAAAACAGCAGAATCTCAAATTGCAAACCCCACCACCTTCTTCCATTTCTTCAAACAGTTAAGTAAACTGCAAAATACCCAAGTTGGTTTTGGTAGGAAGAAAACTCAAACCAAAACATACACAAGGTGTTTCATCCCTAACAATGATGAGAACAGTCAGTGGTCAGATGAATAACCTTCTGCGTGCTACTGGGGGCTCAGACTATGAATCTGATGTAAGTAGCTGGGTGTGCCATAACTGCAGAATCAGCATCTTGTTTTGAAAGGACTCCTGCAAACCCTGCAGGAACATTTCAGTACTAGATGGTGTTGCTATGGGCACCAAAGGGAAGCTTAATATAAGAGAAACTGTCTTAGGAATTCATGGGGGATGGGTGTAAACAGTATGTGTACATAGGAACCGGAATGTCCCTAGCACTAAAAAGCAAATAGCGTTTTTGGGTTTTTAATGTTCTGTTAATAACATTTTAGGGTAGGTCTTTCCAGAGGAACAGTATAAGTTGGTACCTTTTTTTCAAGATGTTTGAAGTGAAATATAGGTAAATAGATGATCAAGTTCTCTAAGGTACATCTGCATCCTGTGTAGCAGAAGCATAACGAAATCTGGATGCTACAGATAGATATAATTTCCCTGTAAAAACAGATAAAAATGGGAACAGAAAATTAGGGAAATTGAAGAACTGCAGTTCTCTCTAGTATTTGGGAAAGAGGATACCACTCTGCATTTGAGTACAGTTCAAACTTTATTCAAGAATCACATTGGCAATGGACAGCCAGAAGATTTAATTCACAGCTAGATTTCTCCCATTCTGGCTCTCTCTCTGCCAGTGTAGACTACCTAAGTAGATAAAAAGAACAAAAAAGTACCCACTGTAGAATATCTGCAAGTATATCTCAAGACAGACAAAGAGAATGCGAAATTAAATTCTTGATGTGAAAAGAATGGGACAATGAGCCCCTCTCCCCAAGATACCTTTGGAAGGGATTCCATTTCAGCTCTTTCTTGCTTGCTTGCTTGCACTATTTTTCATTGATGCATACCAAAGAAAGCCTGAAAGCTTTTTATTATTTCTTATTTTCTTCTACTTTTTAGTATGTGGTATAAGTTCTTTTTTAAAATATTATTTTCCTGCCAATGTTAAAGCAGTTCCCATTTTTCTAGTTTGTTTCTGACACCTAGCTGTGATCAACAATGCTTCTCCACTGAATCACTTCTTTCATCTATTCAGCTTCTGTTATTTCCCTTATCTCACCTCCCCCCTTCACCAGCTTACCTCTCATTAACCCTCAGGGTTCCAAACATATTGTATCTCTCCCAAAGATACATATTTTTATTCAGACGTAAGTCATTTTTGCTTGCTAGCTTCAGTTTCCGTAATTCCCTAATAGAATAGCTGTGTGTAGTACATACTCCTTATGGTACGGTGAACAATAAACCAAGACATTAATTTATACTTGTGCATTGTACACTGTTCCACTTCACCTTTTCCCCCTCTGAACCGATAGTCAGCGAAAATCTAATTCTTTTTAATGTAAGAAATATAGTTCTATCCACATGTAAAAATCTGCTTGACTAGTAGTTTTGTTTGACCAACAAAATTAATATTTTCTAGGAGTCACTTTAACCCATTGCAGTATATTTAAAATCACGTTTTAACTTTCAGAAGTAGTGGTTGTGATACATTAAGCTCAGTTTCTGCTACTATAAGACATACAGGATGTTTCTAGGAAATAAGCACTCTTTTACCTACACTAATGTATTTATAGCTTGTTTTCAGATGTATAACTACCTTCACTTTTCTGAGGATGAAAAATAAGCAAAACCCAAGAGGTTTACCACTTGAGTTTTAGCTATAACTTTTGTGATTGAAACAGGTGAAAGCAGCTGGAAGTACATCCAGCTATTTATGTAGACATCCCTATCTACTATCCCTCCAATTAATTGTGTAACCCATCTCCAATCATGAAGTCAGATAAAATTCATATAAAGTCTTTGGATATGTGTGTTGTGTAGCATGAGGTGAGCATGTAAGTTCAGATACACATAGAGAAAGCTCATTGCTCATACTGGTAAATAAAATACCTGTATCACATAGGCATCTATATTTAAGAAAAATTAAGGGAGATATGTAAATACAGGGAGACTATATAAATAACTTAGAATTCATCATGGTTGCATAAAGAGAACCTCTTTGGAAAACACATTTGTTCCTTGCTATTCTATATGTTATTAGCATTGCCTCTAAATAGAGGTTATTCAAGAACCATAGAAAGTTAATACAATGCTGTGTTAATACATTAATGGGTGTATTTATTGGAATCAGGTGGAAGTTTCCATGCGTGAATGTCTCAACTTCAAAACTTAAAGTTGGATGATTTGATGTTTATAAAACACAAATGACTCTTTTTTTTTTAATTTAGGCAACATTTCTCCTGATTTTATTGTGTAACTAATCATTATCACTTGACTGTACAAAATATAAAAAGAAAAATCCATAGTAAATGAATACATCTTTCATATTTTTAAATGAAATGTTTATACTGGTTTACAATAAACTTTTTCAAAATTCAGTAAGATTTTAGCACAATTCAATGCAGTCTTTTAAGCAAAAACAAATTACACTCAAGAACATTCTCATAGATAATAAAAATAATTGCCTTCACTAAAATTTTCAAGTTCCTGCCAGAAGCAAAATAAATATTTAAGTTACATTTTGTGCAAGTAGTCCTTGCTAATTTCATCCTCAGAGATACTCAGTCCTTTATAACTTAATCACTCCTTCATCTTGTATTTATTACTTCAAATGGTTAGTTTTCTATTACAGAGGAACTTATTGCTGTATCAAAGGCTTAATTGAGCTCCTTTTAAAAAATCATGATTGTCACTATAAAATCATGCATCCACAGTAAGTGTGTTTACAGAGAACTTACAGCTTTAAATTTCACTTAGAAAAAAAGCCTTACACTTTCCTGCAGGTTCTGAATGCAGATTTACTATAAAATAAATGAATAATAATACCAGGTTGTTTTGGAAAGAGTTCTTTCATGCAATCCCTGCATTTAGCACAATCCCAAAATGGCAGCCCAACAGGTGGCCCTTTCATAGCCTTCAGCCCAAACAATCAGGACAAAAAGGACACCAAGAATCGAATGTTCTTCAGGATTTAAAAAGCTGTTCACTTCCCTTTGTTCATTTTCAGATTTAGCCATGTTCGTTATTGTTGAGCCACAAATGCAGGACATTCTTTTTTGACATTTTGCCATAAATAGACACTGACTGGGGCTGACTAGCCAGCTAGCTGCTTTGTCACATGCAAGCGGAAACTACTTCACAAAGCAAATGCATTCTTGGTGACTCAATGGCCCCGGCAAGCACCGGTTGTGACATGCGGCAAATCTGGCAAAGTCTAGGTTAACAAAAGTATGGGTGACAAAGGCTGAAGTTTCTCTTCCTATATTTTCCTCCACAGTAAGTATTTAATTCTGGCCTAATGAATTTGCCTGGAAGACTGGGTGACATTGACAGCCTCTTGAAACTCTGAAAATATACTTTTGCATTGTGGGCCCTCTTCAGAGGGAACTGTTAGCTAACTGGTAATGACAGACTTCAGGGGTGAAATCTAAGTTGAAATACTTGTTTCTCTGTATTTTAAAAGTTGTGAAGGTTTCTTATTACAGTGATCTCAGTCTCAACATCCATAACAAAAGATAGGCCCAGTCCTGTGGTTCTTTAATGATGCAAGCAGCCCTTACAGCTGCCTTCACTGTGCTGCAAGGAATTACTCTCACAAATAATGGGTGTAGAAGCACAGATCAAGCTTTTTCCTTCATGTGTATGAATAAGTGTGTAAAACACATCTTGTAAAAAAAGCAGAGCTATCTATAATGGTGTCTAACTGTTCAAGAATAGTAAATGACTTTATCTTCTAATTTTTAAATTGCCATGTCTAATCCTCTTCTGCTACTGTGTATTTTAAATGGAGTACACACAGTGGGGTTTTTTTATTTTCAGTTTTGGTTTTGGTTTTTGTCTGTTTTATAAATTTTTTGACATCTCCTGACAAGTTCAAAAATTCCAGGACCTCCCGCTGCTATTACCTTGGAGATTTTCCAATGCTCATCCAAGTCCAGGCTTTCTGACCCCTGCTGGGATGTGGATGAGACCTGTATTTGTAATAGCTCTAGTGTGTGGGATGAAGGTCTGATACTAGACCCTTGTTAACCTGTTAGATTGAAATTAGACCCTGTTAATATCTTACTTTCTGCATTAAATTTTTGGTGGAAAACGTGACTTGCTTCAAACTGTCTTATGAAAAGCTATGATGCAGATACAAATAAAAGAATAATGCATTTTAATTTTAAAACATCTACATGAAGAATTGTTTATAAAAGTTTAAAATTATATTGGATCACTGCTGATAACAATTCCAGCACAGGCACAAGGAAACATGTGTCTCTCAAGCCCTACTGCTGCCAAAGGCAACAGCACAGTCTAGAAGGAAAAAACCTGTAGGTAAAGACACAGTCTTGCCTATGTTAGTAAGGTAGCAGCTATGTTGAGCAGTGAATTTTTGCTCTTCAGTTCAAAAGCCTGAAGTCAGCAATGGAAAAATTCAATGTTAAATAGGTTAATGAATGAAGCCAATGTTCAGTGCTGTTTGTCATCCGGATGTTTGTTTCATGGTTTACCTGAGCCCACTGTATGTGGAGAAACCAGTTTATAAATGAATGAAAGGGTGAAAGCCAAGACCTGCTGTTGACAACCTGAAAATACTTGGGCAAACCTCTTCATTGCGAGTCTCCCCTTCGAGGGAAAACATCCACTAGGGTGTTTTCCTTGCAAACCTTCATGGAGGGCTGTGAGTCCTCATGGTGTTCTTCCAAAGGAGGAGGCTTCTGCCTTTCTTTGTAGTACAGAAGCAAAATTTTTCAACTTTTTAATAAAGCCATGTAAAATCCATAACCCTCATGGACTTCAAGGGAAACCAGTTAGTAAAATGTTTAGGCAACAACCAGTCAAAATGATTATTGGGTGCTAAATGATGAATAAGCACTGTAAGAGGATTTTGGCTTATTTCAACCACAAAGTACACACAGACCAGAATGGTTAGCTTGTAAAAAAACACAGTAAAATGACACAAAAGAGAGACTCGATGATCTTTCCACTCTTATCTTTATTTTTAATTTTATTCTAGCAATACTATCATTCCAAATTTCCCTAACAACTACTTTAAATCAAGATGTCTTTCATTAAGAAAAGTATTTTTATAAAACAGATACATACATTTTTCCATACTAAAGTCCAAGTTCCAAGTTAAAACTGGGAAAAAAATAATTCTGTTTGTGTGGGAGTGCTGATTTAAGGGAAGAAAAATAAGAGTCACAGGATACAGAGAAACTTCACTAGAACATATCAAACAGCACTGAAAGTCAAGTAATGGGGAGGCAGAAGCAGGGAAGCATCCAGCTTTACCTCCCTCCAGACAGCAATAGGTCTCTTGCAAATTTAGCTGTCAGAAATGATTGCTTTGTTTTCAACAAGTGGCATTACTTCCTCTTATACTAGAATTAAAATTGATTGAAATTGATTCATTACTTTTCAATATTTCCCACACTCCTTCATCACTTTCAGTTTGAAAACACTATTTCAGTGAAACAAGCACAGATAGAAACAGCATATGTTTCTGGGTTTTGTATTTATTTCTTTTTTTGAGACATCAAAGTATTAAGATGAGATACTGCCATAGTAGTTCATTTTCCTTTAAAAAAATGCTTTCAGAAGTTATGTCTTCCTTGGGGAATGAGGTTTTTTCAAATTTTTTACTGATTTTCCTGAGGGAAAAAAGGGAACAGAATAACTATAAATTCTTAAGCAGCCACACAGAATGGTTCAAATCACAGCAAAAGTTTTGCTATGCTGCTTGAGAGGATTTCCCATTTGAAGTCTGGCTCCCGCTTTTGGACTCACCTGGATGAAGGGCAGTGAGCAAACAGTGATGCCAAGTGGTAGGATTAGCCCAGGAGCAGAGCCAAGCAGGACAAGAAGCCTGTGACAGGCAGTGACCTGCAACGGAAAGCAGAGTGCACTGATGGTTCAAGGAGCTCGTGACAACATTTCATGGTGAAACTGCCTGCAGCATAGCTCTGCCTGCACTTCTTTGGTTCCAGCAGCTGTAAAACTGTGTTTGTTTGGATTCAGCTGCAGCACCAGCTTACCTAAAGTCTTGCTGCAGCAGATTACAGTATAAATCAGGCATCTATTCTGTAGGATTACTAAAAAAAGATTGTATTAAAAAGTCTGCTTATTCTTGTCCCAGATACATTATATGAAAACATTATTTTAAGTGCAGGACCCAGACAAATCCCTAATATTTCTTGATCTATCATGACAGCAACCTTGAAAGACAATCTTTATGATGCCCATTTACTTACAGGGAATTGATGGATAAAGCATGGAAAAATCAAATGGTTTGCACAAAGCTTCACCAGTAACTTGTGGATGTGGAAAGCACTGCTAAATCTCAACAGAGAATTGCAACCATCTTTTCTCCCTGAACACAGAAGTTTGTATTTAGTCTAATTGAATTCTTTGCTTTTCAGTGTTTCTGCCTGCTTGTATTTCAGACCTTTGCTGACTTTTGTTCAGCTGTAGAACCCCACATGAAGCCAGAGTGCGTTGCTTTGAAACAGAGACTAGCATGTCATCTCTATATAGACCCACTGCTGAAGTCCAAAGACTTCCCTTATGCCAGTGGGATTTTTCTTATGTTCCAATAATGAGAAGAACACCAAAAGCATGGCAGAAAAAGGGAGGATGAAGGCAGTTATCTGAGCAAGGGAGAGCAGGTGAGAAAGGGAGCAGTGCTTGCAAGTGCTTGTCAAGAATGGGAGTGACTAAAATAAATACAAAGCAGCTGGAGTCACAGGGAACATTCTAGGATAGGGTGAGAAGGAAGGCAGGGTTTCTTTCTTGCCATGAAGGTATGCCATGTTCTTGATGAGTAGTACCTGCTAAACCTCTTTTTCTAAATCTTGCTGTAGTAAATTTTTTTCCCTCAGAAGGACGCAAACAGGCAACATTCGCTGTTGCCACACAGCAGTCTTTGAATGACTGACAAAGTGAAAAGATATAACAAATATTTTGTAAGTAATAAAATCTGTGGAGTTACAAAAATGACTATATATAACAATCTCCATAAAAAACTAGATTCTGAAGCTGATTTCTTTCTCAGTTAATCCTACAAGAGCCCTGAACCCTCATTATAAGCTGCAACATTGATATTACTTGAGAGAAAATTGGTTCCTGAAGCCTGTAGTCATTGCAGGCAGAATCATGGAGCTCTGTGTTGCTAGGAGTCAGAAACACCTTTTTCTGAGACATTCTGAGGGACTAATAGTCTGGTTTTCTTCTGCACAGAAACAGCTCTTCTCTATGCATTTAATGACCTGATAACCCTTAGACTTCTTGGTGTCTGTGCAACCTGCAGCAGCAGCAGCCTGTCAGTGTCATGTAACCAAAATTTGTTCCTTCCTCTCCTGTCAGACTCCTGCTTCTTTGTTTTCATCTCCTCTGTGCTAACGACCCTTCTGTGTAGCATCCTGCAAGGTCAATCTCTGGCATTCTCCTTTGGCACATCTTGTGTCATCCTGGTCTCTTCTCTACCTGTACAGCTATCTGTGCTGGGTAAGTGTCTTTTCTGCGGCTCCAACACCTGGAACAACCTTACTTTATCTCCTGTTGACCCTCTGTCTTGTTTCAAATTGCATTTGAAATAGCTTTTCACCTTTGCTATATCTATTTTTCCTCTTTGCTGCTTGTTGGACTTGTTAGAGGCACTCAGTGAAGCACTTTGGCACAGCTAAAATACAAGTCCATATACACATGTTCTGTATTAAACTGGAATTCACAGGCCAGAACAGTTTGTTACTTGATATGTGGTATTGTAAAAGCAAAGCAGAGATGAAGCACTCCCTGTAAGTGCGAGTTCAGAACTGATGCTTCCCTCAACCTGTGCTGGAGGGTATATCAAAACTGTGTCTCCATGTTGCAATTAGCATTATCAACTTTTAACATACTGATTTTTAAATGCTCTCCATTTTGCAGTGTTTTTCCTCCTTTGCTGTTTGCAACATGTATTAATGAAGAACTGTGAGTGTGAGAGGACAATGTTTCTCATCTCCACAACGTAAGAAATGTTTTTATCATAAGCCATTGCAATGTCAGTGAAGGTTTTCCACTGCACTGGAGAATTCCTGTACTGTGTCATGTTAAACTGTGGTAGATAATTTTTATTGTTTACCTTGGCTGAATGCCAGGTATCCACCGGGCCTGCATGCAGCCTCCCCTCTGAGGAGAGGGGAGGAGGAAAGAGGAAAAAGGAAAAGAAAAACCGCGAAACCGAACCTGCTAAGAAAGGCAGTTTAATATTTACGTAGAGAGGAAAACAAATTGTAAAAACTATACACACAGAGAAGAACTAACAGTAAAGACTCCTTCCCCACAAGAACGCTCTTCTCCTCTGAAGAAACGGCCCGACTATTCTGTGCAGCTACCCGGAAGAGAAAGCCCTTGCTTCCTTCTCGTCTCCTTTATATCTGAGCTGACGTAACATAGTATGGAATACCTTATTGGCACAATACGAATCAGGTGATCTATCTAGTTCCTCTTCCCTCCCAGGGAGGGTAACAAACCCATTACAATAATTCAGCAAGTGTGATGTTGTGCCCTGCAGCTGAAGTTACAAGCAGTACAATCTGCTTAGCTGTGTAATCTGAACAGGCTGCTTTCCCACAATGGTAGTTTAGTCTGTATTAAACAGAAGGCTCTTTCTGCCCTCCTATCCCATTTTACGATGCTATACTTGGTGGCAACAAATTCTGAAAAATTAATGTGTACATGAAGGCAACAATCCATATATTTTCTTTCTTTCATGAGTTTTGTGCAAAGGCTATTGTTCAGGATTTGAGCTTGTTTGATACTACACACCTTCTTGGCCTGAGAAGTGTCTGGTTAGTGAAACTCCTTGTTAGTTTTCTTCAGATTTATTAGTGGTGGCTCCTGCGACTGATCACAAAATTAATCCCCTGCAAGGTGGTCAAGCAAAACAGTTGGCACACTTAAGCAAATATCTATAGTACGATGTGTACAGAATTGCTGGCATGAAATTGTACCTCTCATTACTGTAATAACTGCTGACATCTTGCTTTCTTGCTAATATACATACAAGTTACATTCACGAAGCTCCAGCTACATAAAGCAGAGGCTGGAGCACTAGGTAATTGATGGCACTTCATTCTTTGAATGATTTGGATGATTCAGGGTCTGGTGTTGACAACAATTCTTCTGTATAAAGACAACTACAATGCAGGTTCTTCAAACTACTCCTCATATACCCAGATAACTCAGAAATAAAAGAGAGCAAGAGCTAGGTTTGCAGACCAGTGCTTGGTAAAGACTTGCTTGTGCTATGTGTCTTTTCTAGGAAGCATCTAGCCAGACTCCATTGGTCTTGACAACTCAAAGGGGAGTGATGGTTTCCACCAAATGCAAAATTCTGTATAAATTGAGTATAAAATAATGTAGCATATGCATGTACATGTGCATAAAAGACTACGTATTATAAACTTACTAGAATTATCATAGAACAGGCTACAGAGGCATAGCTTTTATTCTCTCACAAGTGTTAGTAGGTGTATAGTTCGAGTTTTGAGCCAAATGAGTTTGTGACAATTGATTTATCCTGGCTGTTGCTACAAAACTGCATAACAGAGCATATTGTAGAACATGTAAACTGGGTCATAATTAAGTAAGAAATTTTATTATATTTATGTATAAACAACTTATTTGTATTCATAGTAGATTGTCTCCACAAATCTATTCTTGTCTCAGAGCCAAATAGAAATTTAATGTCATTGTTATGTTTAGGTGAACATCACGCTCTTATATTCCCCTCTGTTTGGCCTTGAATAAAAATCAGAGCAACAATAATATAAATGGTATGAAAGTAGTCATGAACAGTAGCCCATCTGTACTGGACAGAATTCTATAAATCAATTAGATGGTCATAAAAAAGCTAATCAGATGTGGATGAATCAACTGTGGAAATAAAACAGATTGAACTCTTATGTTTATTGTTCATGTAGAACCCTTTTTAATAATCAAGATGGGTAAATTACAGTAATTAACCTTTAAAAATTTAGATGATTTCCAAATAATAGCTTCAAACAATGCCTATTCTTTTCATTGTTAATTTTAAGTGTTTTGCCCATGACAAGGCAGTTTCACTACAAGATCTACAGAGGTAGTTGTTTTGTAGTTGTGCTTTCTTTTTTCTTATTTCTCAATCATTAGACTTTCTACAGTACATAGTCCCACTTCGCCCCCATCAGATAGGACTTGAAGTCAGAAGAAATCAAATTCATATATCCTAGGAAGCAATGTCAAGAAAACTTGGCTCCTAGAGACCACTTGAGTTGGGTCTCACTGCTCTTGGGTGGGATAGATTATCTGACAGGTCATCAAATCCTATTCCTAGCCACAGGAGCATCTTATCTGGGTTAGGGCAATTCTGGCAGCAAAGGCAACGTGTAGCCCAACACTTTTGGACAGGTTGCCTGGATCCTTAGCAACTCATAGGGCTGGGGATAGTTTCATACACTTTTTGCCATACTTTGAGGTAGCAAGGAATTGTGAGAGGATTATACAGTTTCATGCTATAGCATGAATGAAGAGAGATCTCTACTGCTACAGAAGCCTGGAGTACTCAGTAAGTCTTCAACTGGAAGGGTTAGGGGAAACAGTTGCTTTTATGGGGGAAGGGAGAAAGTTATCTGTAAGGGAATCTTTCTGTAGACTTTTTTTTACCTCTTCAAAGCTCTTTCTCCAGGTCTTCATTCAGGAGAGGATGGCTCAGCATCTGTTACTGTAGAAAACACGTTCTTTGTTCTCACCGGTGCAAATGACTTGTAAACTGGTCAATCAAAAATGTATTTTTATTCAGTATTTTAACTACTTGTCCTTCAAATAATTCATCTTCAGCATTCTGGGGTTAAAATTTCTCAGTGGTGTTGAAAGATCTTAATTACAACAAAAGAGATAACTTATAATGTATTAAAAATAAATAAATAATCCAGTACAGATCACAATACATTGGATGGAATGGTGAATGGTTTGAGTTTCCTAAATTACTGATATTACCTGCTGATATGAGGGCTGTTCAAAAGGGCACTTCACTTTTGGGTTTATTTATTAAAATCCTGCACTCAACTGCAAGAAATTAGCCTCCTAGAGATGAATCGCTCCCTATTCAGAGGAGCCTGAAGCAACAAAACCAATCATGCACACACTGCAGAACTGCACAGTAACACAAGCTCCAATGTTTTATTACATCTCTCACACAGGGTGCTAAACAGCAATGTGAAGTGTTCCTAGAGGGAGACAAATGTTCTTAGCTTAAAAGTGATGCTCTTAGATATTTTCCTCAAATAATTAATGCCAAATTTATAATGCTGTACTATTATCCTTTTTATCTTGTAACTGGAAGCCCTTAATAACTGAGGTGAAGTGTGAAACACAGGCTATTGGACTCTGACAAAACCTGGAAAGATCACTAGATCAGCTTTCAGGTAAGCATAAATAAGGAGACGGAATGTCTCATTTTGTCTGTGAATTTTACATATTGAAGCTGGGATTAAAGTCTGTCTTGAGTTCTTGCAGTGGAAACAAAGCTAACCTTTCAGTTCTTGGTTAGCTACGGGGATTTTAGCATTTCCTTTATAGCATGCACCTTAAAGAGCAGAAGAGAGGCAGCTCAGGTAAGTGCTTTGGCAGCCTTGAACGCTTTGCAATCTCTGTAGAGCAGGACATAACATGGTCAATCTCTCTTTCCCAGCTAGTTTACAGCACAGTAAGCTTGCTGTTGTTGATAGCGTGGAATAGCTGTACACTAGAACAATGGTAAACCTGTGCTGGGTAATTAAGCAGTGCAATTCCTAATTGACTGGAATTTTAATATGTATAGATTGGAAATGTGTGGGAAAGGTTCACAAAATTTCCTCTGAACCTTGTGATATATGATCCTGCAATGGGTTTCAGTTGTGTTCAGTGCAAGAGTTCCTCGATGGGGAAACCTTCTATACAGAACTAATATTGTGTAACCCAAATCTGGGTGGGTTTTATTTATTGCCAAATTAGGGGTTCACATTGTCCTAAGAGAATTGCTTTTCTTACTCCTGTGTGACTTCAGAAACAAATGGTATTTGTGCATTGATTGATGTCAATAGGATTTCCACTACTGAGTGGAGGGGGGGTGGTGGGTAGTGATGCTGGGACATCCTCTTAAATGTTGGCAGTGCCCCGACAGACCTGCTGTTTCTGAACAGAGAAGGGCTGGTGGTAGATGTGGTGGTTGCAGGCTGTACTGGGTAGCGACAACGAAATGATAAGGTTTTTCAATCCTCAGTGAAGTACGGAAGGGGGTCAACAAAACTTCTGCCTTGGACTTCTGGAGGGGGGACTTCAGCTTGTCCAGGACACTGGTTCAGAGAGTCCTTTGGGAAATAGCCCTTAAAAACAAAAGGGTCCAGGAAGGCTGGACATACTTTAAAAAGGAAATCTAAAGGGTGCAGGGGCAGACTATCCCTATGTGCTTCCCTTGGCAGGGAAGACCACCAGCCCGGATGAACAGGGAGCTTTGCTGGAATACAGGGACAAAAAAGAGTTTATAACCTTTGGAAGAAGGGATAGGCAACTCAGGAAGAATACAAGAATGTTGTTAGGTCACATAGAGTAAAAATTAGAGAGGCGAAAGCTCAGCTAGAACTCAATCTGAGTGGCTAGAACAGCCACTGCTGTGAAAGATAACTGAAAGTGTTTTTATAAATACATTAACAACAAAAAGAGGGCCAAGGAAAATTTCCATCCTTTATTGGATGCGGAGGGGACCATTGTAACCAAGGATGAAGAAAGGGCTGAGGTACTTAATGCTGCCTTTCCCTTCGTCTTCAACAGAAAGACCAGTTATCCTCAGCTGAACTGGTCCCCCCAAGCTGGTAAACAGGGACTGGGAGCAGAGTAGGTGCCATGGTATCCAGGAGGAAGTAGTTACTGATGTGCTGTTCCACTCGGACACACTCAAGTCTATGAGGCCCAATGGGATTTACCTGACGGTGCTAAAGGAGCTGGTGGAGGAGCTCTCCAAGCCAATCCATCATTTATCATCAGTCCCAGTTAACCAGGGAGGTACTAGATGACTGGAGGTTGGCCAATGTGATGTACATCTACAAGAAGGACTGGAAGAAGGGTCTGGGGAACTACAAGCCTGTCAACCTGACCTTGGTGCCGGGGAAGGTTATGGACCAGATTGTCCTGAGTGCCATCATGTGACATGTACAAGACAACCAGGGGATCAGGCCCAGCCAGTAGAAGTTTATGAAAGGCAGGTCCTGCTTGACCAGCCTCATCTCCTTTTAAGACCAGGTGACCCACATAGCGGATGAGGCAAAGGCTGTGGATATGGTCTACCTGGTCTTCAGCAAAGCCTTTGATACTGTCTCCCACAGCATTTTCCTGGAGAAGCTTGGACAGGTGCATTGTTTGCTGGGTAAAAAACCGTCTAAATGGTCAGGCTCAGAGAGTGGTGGTAAATGGTGCTACATCCAGTTGGTGACCAGTCACTATCAGGGTTCCCCAGGGCTCAGTATTGGGGCCAGTCCTGTTTAATACCTTCACTGATGATCTGGATGAGGGGATCAAGTGCACCCTCAGCAAGTTCACAGACAACACTAAGTTGAGCGGAAGTACTGATGGGCTGGAAGGTAGGAGGGTGCCGCAGAGGTATTTGGAAAAGCTAGATTCATGGGCCAAGGCCAACTGTATGAGGTTCAATAAGGTTAAGTGTCAAGTCCTGCACTTGGGTCACAACACCCTCAGGCAGCGGTAGTCTTGGAGAAGAGCAGCTGGAAAGCAGCCCAGCAGAAAGGGACCTGGGGGTGCTGGTCAACAGTGGCTGAATGTGAGCAAGCAGTGTGCCCAGTGGCCAACAGGGTCAGTGGCATCCTATCAATGGCACACTATCAAAAATAGTATGACCAGCAGGACCAGGTGTCCTAGTTAGAACACCTGAGACCAGTTCATCAGTGTGTAGATGTAACCCAAACTGTGTATTCTACACCTTCCATGTCATTTCCCAGGAACTGTTAACAACAGACCATTTGCAGCAGCTGCCCAGAGCACACCTGACCCTTCAGGCTATAAGCTGGGTGTTAAGAGGCCTGAGAAATAGGAGAATGTTCCTGTCCTCACACCCACTACGAACAATTGTGGAACTTCCCCCCCTGGGAGAGGTACTGGGCATTCCTGCCTGAACCTGAGGGTATATAATTTTGGGGTCTTGGGACTTCTGGTACCACTCGTGGGATCCAGAGGAGGACCAGAACCTCAACCAGACTGCGACCACCACTCTCAACCAGCCTGAGACCATCACTTGCATCAACAGGTTTTTCCTCTCCTTTTACTTTTGGACTCAGGGGACCATGTGGGGCTCAGTACGGGGGCCAATGAACACCATTCTGTTCATGCCCCAAGGTGCCAGGTTATATATCTGGGGTTTTGTGGGCTAAAACCAATTGTTCGTCTGTATAATTGTATTTATTGTATTATTTTTATTAAATTGTAGCTCTGACTAATAATCTCTTTTGGGTTGGGTTAATTTCTCCTGCTGGTTTACCTTTAAACCGGGGGAAGTGATTGTCCCTCTGTACTTGGCACTGGTGAGGCCATACCTTGAGTTCAGTTCTGGGCCCTTCACTACAAGAAAGACATTGAGGTGTTGGAGTGTCCAGAGAAGGGCAATGGAGCTGGTGAAGGGTCTAAAGAGTAAGTCTAAAGAGCAAGCCTCTTCTCTCAGGCAACTAGCAACACAACAGAGGCAATGGCTTAAGCTGCACCAGGGGAGGTTCAGGTTGAACATAGAAGAATTTTTTCACTGAAAGGGTAGTTAAGCATTGGAATGGGCTGCCCAGGGAGGTGGTGGAGTCACCATCCCTGGAATTGTTCAAGAAACAGTTTACTTGGCAGGGTGGTGTTTACTCAAAGGTTGGACTCGATGACCTTGGAAATCTTTTCTGACCTTAATGATTCTAGGCCTTTAACATTCCTGGGATTATGTATGCTGGAGGAGGGTGAAATGGACCACATAAGTGATGTACAAAAATGCATCTGTACAGTTTTATCTATGTACATCTAAATCACTTCTTCATACAGTTCAGATTCAAACCTGGCCTTTTGCCAAGTAAGAGATGTTGCTGTAGCAAGCAGCAGCCACAGCAGTGCTTCTCAGAAGACAGGCCTCTGGATGCCAGGAGCAGCCCGAGAAGAAAACATTATATAAGGGAAGTTATCCTCAGTGTTAAATAGCTCTAGGTGGAAACGGGGAAGGAAAAGATGATGTGTAACAAAGATATAAAGCTCCCTTCTTAAGAACACTTCCATGCATCCTTTTGAAGGCAAGAGTGTAGATCGGCCCAACTTCAGTAAAAAGGTATTGGTCAAGCTGTTGAGACATGTCAACAAGATAGTAAACACTTCCTCTGCTTTTACTTCATCTGCAGCTACCTTTCAGACTACTTCAGCTACTGCAGCCCCACTTCTCAGCAAGTGCTGTAGTGCTTCAGGTACAGAGGAAGAAAAGCATAATTGGTAGATCTTAAAAACAGATGGTGTAAGAGGTCTATCCTGCATCCACTTCATTATGAGGCTGTGGTGGATTGGGTATTTCACTTTTTTCTGAAGAAACAGTCCTTACAGTAGAAGTTAACTGTAGGAGGTCAAGCCCAAAGAGACAAAAAGCAAGCAAGGATAAACTAGTAAGACCATTAGTACTGAACACCAGAAGAGTCTTGTTCCCCTGTCCCTTTGTGCATACAGGTCACCTAGCAGAGGAAGGAAAACTTCTAACAGCTTGGCAGCCCTCTGAAATACGCAAGTACTTTTAACATTTGGCTCAGAGCAGAAGATATCTTTCCAATGAATTTTTATAGTACAGGAACATTGGCATTAAGCATTCAAGAAATTGAGAACCTGAAACCAAAGAACGGCAAAGGACTAGTAACAAAGCAAGACGAATACCATGACATTTTTCAAGCTTATCCATAGCAAGTTATTTGATAAATTATATAGGGTTAATAAATTACAATCCAGAGTACATCCATCATCATCTCCTTAGCTATTGTCATGCTACAATGTATCTTTATTACGCTTTTAACCCTTAACTGCTATGTTGCTGCCATGTCAATAGAGGAGAAGGAGAGTTCCATGGCAAGAGATCTTTCAAGTAGCAGGCAATTCACTACTGAAAAAGCCACTTTGAAACTGCTAATGCAGTCTTTGTAACCAGTCTCTCTTGAGGAAATCACCTTCAGAGACGCATTAGCTGCAGTTGCTACAACAAATGTTAGTCTAGATAAGAACATGGAGTCACAGAAAACGCCTACTCTTCTTCAAAGACTGTGTCCAGTCAGTACTGTTCATAACACCTGTCACAGTGATACAAGGACATCAATGATATGACTGCTGTAAGCAGAGTAGTTAACATAACACTCCCTTTGCAACAGCTACTTCTCTTCTAAACTGGAATAAAGACAGTAAATAAAGAACTTGTATAAATAAAAAATGGTTTATTAAAACAAACAAAAATAAAGTGTCACAACAAAATCACACTGCAGTGTGTGGGCAAAGGTCTGACTTTAAACTACATAGCCAGCATCCATGATTCAAAAGTCATGTGAGCATGCAAATGGAAGGGAAGTTGATGCCTTGCTGGCATGCTCCTCAAAATCTCCCATCTTTAGAACATATTGAGTTTGTTAGCAGGGTATGAAGTTTGAATTCACACAGAACACTGAGGAAGTGAAGAACACTTGTTTTTATTTACACATATAGGATTTCCATAACCACCTGTCAAACAAATGCAATTTGCTGCATTTCTAACAGTTGTGAAAATGGTGACAAATTCAGGAAAAAAAATGAGGGTAAGCATGCATGCTGCAAGATTTTTTGTAATTTTTTTTCCCCAAGACAGTTTATTTCTGAGGAAATACTTAATTTTATTTCACAACTCTATGCAAACTACTTAGGTGAAAAGTACTCAAAAGACAGCCCTTTTAAACACTTAGTCATAAAGAATTACACGAGAGATATAGCTTTTGTATGCAGGTTGAGACGTTCCACACACAAACAATGCTGCAATCCTCCTTTATAACAGAAGGGAATGGATTATTAGAATGATATTCCTGAAACATTCTTCATTTTAAAGTAACTATTTCATTAATAAGAATGCTTTTAAATGAGTTATTATGAAAGAAAGCTTTCAAGATCATCCAAATGGAGCTTATATGCATACTTTGTCTTCATTGCTAAAATCATCCCCAAAGCACACTACCCAGGTCTATGGTTTATGTGTAAAGCACGGTGAAGATTCTGAAAAGACTTTTTTTATCGAAGAAGCTGCTCAGCCTCCTTGGACTTGCTTTCTTTTGTTTTCCTCAGTAATGCCTGTTTTATAGCATTAATCTTTTCATCAAGTTCAGCCAATGAATAGTTCTGCTAAAAGAACAAAATAAAAATCACAATCATTTACATCTTTTACTTGCTAGAGAAGTGGCCTAGCACTTGATACTTGAGGTCACTGCATATTGCATTAAGCGACAGAAATACTTTTGCAGAATTGTCTGAATCTAGTCTTTGGCTATTTAAACCTGAAAAAAAAGAATGTAAACTTAGAAGAAACAGACAGTCCTAATCAGAGATTGATTGATATAGCCACGTTATTTCTGTTAGACGTTTGTTTAATCTGCTCATAAAAAGAACAAGAAATCCTTTGATGTTAAAGCACCAGATGAGACTATAGATCTCATGGAACTTGGGTTTTACAGCTGAAGGGTTTTTTCCTATTGTCCAACATCAAGCTCCTCTGTGCCCACTTAACCTGACAATCTTTCGATGTCTTCTTACACAAACTGGTCATCATCCTTTTTATAAAAATATTTCATCCTATGCAGGATTTTTTTCCTTATATAAACAAGCCTAGTTCCTCAATTCTCAGATGGCCCACATCCCATTCTAAGCATTGTCCCCAGTCTCTCCGTCTCCAAGAGTGACAGACAGCATTCCAGCCATGGTCCCACTTGCACCAAGGACAACTTCTCTCTTGTGGTCTAAGGTACACAGTTAATGCATTCTCTTATGTGATGGTGTTGTGAAAATGGCAAGTCTTACTGACTTAGGTTAGTATCTGCTACAATGCTGGGTCCTTCTGCAATACTTTTGCTGAGCCAGCCATTTCTACTTTTGTCTCTTCATAAACCAATAAAGCAAATTGAAAAATAATTTTTAAAATCAACATAAACCATTAAGCCACAAAACAAAACCAGAAGGCATTACTGATCAGAATACAGAAACTGCTTGTTACTCCCAGCTTGATTCACATCATTACAGATTTGTTTTATTGTCATCCTTCTAACCGGTGAAAACACCAACTTACCCTAATACAGATTCTTAGAAGACTCATTTCATTGTAACACCTATTACCTTTCTGATTCTTTCTCTCCTTCTTTGCCAGCAAACTATCCAATACTGATGTAGCTATTTCTGAGAACTCAGATATTTGCTTGGTAGAACTTCTGCTTACTTTTCGCTCCAAACATCTTAAGATAAACAAAAGTTAACAGCACTTACATGGGGAGGTTGAACCTTTCTCCTCTTGCCAGAACAGCTCTGAAGAAAAGACATAATCAAAACATACTTAATGTTGCACTAACAGAGGACCACAAATAATTCTGTAACAACATTGACAAGAGTCTTTAAAGTAAAGAAAAAACACTGACTGCCATTCCATGGATTAAAGAAATTTTTTATAATTAAGTACTTTGGATCGTGAGAAATACTACTGGAGAAAAGTCAGAACCTGTTCAAGCTTCTCCATGCTTGGCAGTCAAGAGCTATCAATTTAACTGAAGCTTCCTTCAGACAGAATTGAGCTTTTGAAATATTTATGCAAAACTTTATATAAAATATACTAATTACTGTGCAACACTACTAGTGACACCATCACCAATTTTTCTCCAAACCTCATTCTAGAAAAGACTCAAAGTACTTTCCATAGAAATTTCAGCTTATGAAAGTGTATGTTTTAGCTTATGGTTTTCAACAACTTGAAGGAATAGCCTCACAAATAAAGAACTTCATTGACCTCCAATACAGATTAAAAAATGAAACAAATTTATAATATTGCCATTTATTTTTATTGTCAACTCTTCTTTGGCAGGTCTCAAGGGAGAAGATATAAATTAAAATATGATCAACAGTAAGAGAGATATTCCTACTGTTACATGTGGAAAGAAGAGCAAGACAACTGACAAGAAATTTCTACAGTCAAGTAGAGCCTAACGTAGTAACGACTAACGTTCTCTTTGTCCTAATATACTTTGGTGAGCGAAGGTTAAGGTGTACTATTCAGAACTCTGCCTGAACACCAGAAACAAAGAAATCTAAGTCATAGAATCGCATGAATCCTTTTGGAAGTTATTCACATAGCTGATTGTTAATAATTAGATCACATAGAGAAGCCCAGAAGATTTCAGCTGATTTAAGCCATTAATGATTTGTATCAAAATCAAAACTTCAGTCAATTTTCTTGGCATAAGAAACACTTCAGATTTTAGGGCAGAGGGGAGAAATCCAACCTCTGAGATATATTTCTCACAAATTATTTCAGCTTGAGTGGCTGCAATTTTTTCCCCCAACAGATAATATTTTCTTTGGAATGAGAAATTAGGTAGACATGAATATGAACTTGACTAGATGGTCCACATGTAACATAGCCACTACATCAAGCCAGAGTTGTCTATCAAAAGTGTCTGCCCTCTGACTCTAAGTTTTTCTCTGTACATCAAAGATTTAAGCAGAAAAGGCCCAAATGCATTTAGGTACGCCAAAAGGTGAGAGAATTTCTTACTACAGATTGAAAATATTCAGGAGACAGTCCTTCCAGCTCAAGGATTTTATCTTCAAGCTTCTTAATTCTCTGATAAATGTCTCTTGGTACCGGGCCACCTAAATGCATCAGTACAAATGCAAAGAAATCAGGAAAAACTCTTGAGTAACTTTTTAAACTGAAAATTACAAATTTGACATGTGAATTCTTCAAGACCAGCTATCAACCAGTAGCTGAAACAAAATAAATGGATGGGATAATAAAAAGAAAGGATAATTAGTATAATTCAGGGTAAAACCTAATTGATAAGCCAGTGGCAGCCACTGAAGGCAATAAGACAACTTCAGCATTTGGCTGAAGTATGTCTGAAAAGGTCCCTTGAACAACTAATAATCAGTCTTACAATGCATTGGTCATACATGAAATGTTACCACTTCAAAACTGACAGCAGCATTAGAGAGGGCAGATGGGATGGCAGAGCACACATGAATTCAGCGCTGATATCTAAGATTGTTCTGAAAGAAACCTATCTCCACTGGACATTAGAGGTCAGAGGACAGGTACGAGTTGTGCTTGACAAAAAACAGCATTTGCCTGGCTATAGGTGGGAGAACAGAGGTGGGGAATGTGTATGTCAAGTGGAATAAAAGAGCCTTGGGGGACCAAAAAAAAAAACCCACAAAAAACCCCAACCCCCCCCCCCCCCAAAACCCAACCAACCAAAAAAAACCCCAACCCACAACAAAACCCACAACACCACAAAGACAACAGCAACAAAAAACCCACCTCAACCCATTTGCTGTTTTCATCTATGCTACAGCAGCCTGGGCTTATCAAAAAGATCAGTCTTTGCAAGCATCTTACTTACACTACACAGTATTTTATAAACTGAAATAACTGTTTATTACAAGTGCTGGCTATTCCAATTAAAATGACAGTCTGGTTCTGAACACTGACAACCAAAGCCATAGCAAACTTTTACTTCTTGTTGCCCATTTTCCTCTCTTTCTGGGTCTTTTAGACAAGACAATTCTATTCCACAAACTACTGAAATAAGCATTAATGTTTGTGGGGTTTTAGTCATTCACCTATTTTGTCCCTTCAGAGAAACAATTTTTCAGGTAGCTTCCCTCCTTCAGTTCTGCTCTCAACACTCAGCAGCTACTAATTAAATTGGCTAACCTCTCACTCTTAATATTGCTTTCTCTTAGTGTAAAGGGAAAAGAGCACTGCTAGCACTAGAAGAAGCTGTTCTGAAAAACAGCAGGTGAGTCAAGATTAACTCTTCTGTCGCCAGAAACGAAAATTGGTGAGCAGGTAGGTGAGGCACGTTACCTGCTCAGATTAATACTTTTTCCACAGCTGCTGGGATAAGCATCAAATAATCTTGAGACCTTCCCCATGAATGCTGATTTGGACAGGAGTTGAGTTGGTATTGCACGCTTTCACTTTCTTACCCTATACTGTAGTTAAGCTGACCTCTTCCTTCAAACAAAATTATCTATCATCTTTTATAGGCACAATGTGGAAACAATGACCCCTCCTTAACTACCTCCAGTCGTTATCCCCAATGCACATGAACTGCAAAGCTACCACACATTGCCACCCTAATACTGGTCAGCCACTTTCAAATTCTATTTCCATTCACAAAAGCCAGCTTATTTTTCACACAGCTATACAGCTAAGCATGAAGCTCTCACTGTTGCCTCAACTGTATCTAGGCATATCCTACTCTCCTTGCTGCCAGAGGACTTTTAATACAGTACATATTCAGAGGAATCTAGTAATCTAGTGAATGTTCACCATATTCCTAGAGAATGGATTGGCATCTATTCAGTATTCAAAAGACAAAAAAAGTCAAGTATGCCTGCAGTGTGATGTGTAGAAATTTCACTTTACTAGATGAAGATCTGGGCTTTTGTCCTGTTTTGTAAACAATTTTCAAGTAAAATACAAATTCCTTCTTGATAAATGCCTCATTGATTTATAATATAAAAAACTGGGGCTGTGGTGAGGAAAGCAACTACCTAAAACACGTCAGTAGCCTGGTGGCTATGGGATTTATTTTAGTGAAAACTGTGGACTCATGTTTGCATGGCTAAAGGGAAGTATTGACAACAAGCTTCCCAGATTCTGGGAAATAAGCTTTACATTTAATTATTTTAAGAATCATCCACTGTTGGGAAAGGTTTTCAGTTGTCCTCTGGGTTGATTCTGTCCCCAGGACATGTTGTCCATGAAGCAGCACTGAGACCTAACCTCAGCTTTTCCTGTTCAGTGGGTCAAGTCAGGACAACTCTAGTGGCTATGAAGAACCCCTACCACCAAATATTCCACATTGTTTTAAATCCTGTTCTGAAGTGCCTCTCTCATTTGCCACCACATAAAGTGTACATTCACTAACTCAGCATCCCAATTTGGGCTTAAACCTGGGTTCCCTTTTGGGCATAGGATTGTTGCACTTGGGGTGACTAAACCCTTCAGTGGATCTACCCACTGTTTTACAGTAACAATTTTTATAGACATGCCCAGTTTTACCATAGTAATGATAACTGTAGTATAAACTGGCATACCAATGTCAAAATTAAAACACGATACAAACCTGTTTGTAACCGTAAGTGTGCTTCAATGTTTTGCAATCTCTCCTCAACAGCTTGGTTTCCACAATCATGCATGGGTAGGCTGGCTTTGTGACTAGACCTAAGCGCTCCTTCAGACCGAGTCTGAGGTCCGTATGTATTTACTACCCTAGAAACTAGGTCAAGAGAACACAAATTTCACATATGAAACATATATATCACTAAAAGAATCAAAATATTCAAACATAAAAACCTGTGTTAAATCAATTTCACACAAATCTCTCATACGAAAGGTCCCACATGCATTAAGATCAAAAGTTGAAGTAAAAGTATTTTCCTATTTTTTGCATGAGCAACTAAAGAAGACAAAAATCTAGGACTTCACATACGCAAACTAAAAGATTTACTCATACATTCATGTAGAATAGCAGTACCAAGAATTTGTCATCAGCTGCTGATAAATAGCAGAAACCTTGATATCTATGTCAGCAGTTGTACATGTGAGCTGTTATGAATGCAAAGAAGAGGCCAGACCAAATATTACAGGAAGCATCATAAATACATGAAGACACGGAGAGGTAAACAACCAGAAGAACCAGTATGAACCTCAACAAGGAAGTTCACTTCTAATCTTTGTTATTTGAGTAAAAGCTTTAGTGACTCTACAGCCGATTCTTTTACCCACGCTGAGCCATGTCTTCATCAGATGATTTTGATCACTTCTCTTTAAGTCGCAGTCATTTCTTAAGTCCTTCCTGATACAACTACTGCAGTGTACTGTAGACTTAAAGGCTTTGTTGGCAGTTCCAGACACTGAAGCACGCACACACACACACACCCCTTCTTACTCAGTATTTCATGAAGGCCACATGCTACATTCTTGCTTTAGTTTATGCTGGTTTTACTTCCAATTCCTTTCTATTCTATGTCTATTCATGTTTCAGTTATGAACTGTTCCTTGAAGCGCAAACTAGCACTCAGTTTAAAAAACTGACTAGTGAGCTTCTTAGTGAAAGATTCTAAAATCAAACTCACTTTCCCATCTCCTCCCTCTTAACTCACCAGACCTTTCAATACCTATCATTGTGCTTCACAGTATTATTCTGAATTATATAATTCAGAATAATTAACTGGTTTTTAGAACCAATATCAAGTGGATAACTGAATACTACCTCTCTCAAAAGAGAGACAAGAGTTACTTTCATTCTCATTTTGGGAATTTTTTTTTTGTTTTTAGACAGGGTAACTTGTGTACACCTAGAGAGCAGCAGATGGACAAGCAATATTTTATACATAACTTCTGTTGGACAACCATTTCTATACTATCTACTCCTTTCAAAAAGTTAGTGCAGTGGTAAACTTGTTCCCCAGTCTGTCACTTCCCATAAAACTATGTCTTGGAACTTTCACTGTGTCCCAAAACTATTTTCTATTTCAATACATTATACCAACTAATGAAGAATAGAAGATAACTCTATTTAATTTCCATTCCTTAATTGAACTGCTGGTTTCATCTTTGAAGAAAAGCTAAGAATTGTTCAGCTTCTCTGTCCTGCTCTATCTTTTGCACATTTCCTTTCAGACAATGAAAATAGGCTATTTTGTTTTGGTCTTTAGCGCCTAAGCATTAGTTTAGTGAAGCAGATATGGGATTGAAAACCTTGGAGGCACAACTGAAGATGTAAAATTATTCACTAGAGTCAAAAATCAATACGTTTGCATTGTACAAAAAGTTCTGAAGTCAAAAATTCATCAATGCTATTATATCTGGACAATTAATAAAATGGGTATTAGAAGAGCTGCTTACCCTTTATATGGCTTTTAAATCCAGGGTAGGGTGTGAAAATTGCATCTGTTCTGGCACAGCTATTCTCTAAATAAATAATAATATAGAAAATGAGGTCTTAATTATGTATTAATTATTTATTTATTTTGTATTTTACAAATCTAATTAAAATGTTTCAGACAATAAAAACATTAGAAATACTTCATTCATTCTATAAACACTTGCCCATTAATAGTTTCATACACTTGCATGGACCTACTGGTTTTAATTGGATAAGTCTCTCATATAAATGTATGCACACATGTACATAGTAGTTTATTGGATCAGGACTAAATTTACTTGGTTCTTACTTCTCACTTTGTTTCTCTGTAACTTATTTCTTTCTTCCTGTAGAAGCCTTTTTCCTGCTTACCAGTGCTATTTTGGTTTTATGCCCTTTTCTGAAACTGTTCTCGTATTTTTAGACTGATATAGTGTACTCATCAGCATTTTTTTAAGTCTTCCTGTATTTATTCTGATGCCTGCGATTTATTGCATTTGTTTAGCCATAAGAACCTACAGTAGAGACCATCTCAGTTTATTCTAATGTTTACATTTTAAACTCTGTTCATATACACTAAAGTTTTACATGTATTTTATTTATTATGTCTGAACATACCAAGAAAGATCTTACAATTTCTTCTGTACGTAATTAACAATTTTAAGAATCAGTATTTTACTATCTAGCATATTCTACTAGACTTCAGATGTCATTTGAATTCCAACTAACATTCAAGGAATTACTCTCCTAGAAGCTTATGGAACAATACACATTGATCTCCAAGAGCATAAGTACATTACAGAGACAATGCACATCTGGGTTCACAGGTACTTAGAAAATGTCTCCATACCACTTATGTATCTGAAAGTGTCTTCACTTTTAAGATGCATTTGCCTACAGGGTTACTGATTGTGTAAATGGAATCCAGCCTGCTAGATGGATTTAAGATTGTTTGGTTACAGATACAGCCAATTGTACCAGTTGGTGTATGTAAAACAACAACAGCATGAGCAATGTTAAAAGAAAAGTTTTTTTAAGTAGCTAGTAACTCAGATGGATTGTAAAAATAGTTCTTTGTAATTTAACTAGCATCAAATTAACTTCAGTTGGAATACGCAATTCACAAGACATTTCTGAATTGCAATTCCATTTACTTTGGAGGAACACCTAGTTAAGCACCGGGAACAATTGCTACAAAATCATCTGATCTAAGATAGAAATTGTTAAAATGAACACAATAATAGCTATACTCTTTCTGTATGAGACGCATTAAATATTGTCATCCAGTGACTACTTCCTTTGTTTTTCTGACAACTGCAGTGCACATGCAAGTTCCTAATTTTAAAACAAAGTTACTCATAAAAGAAAGTTCAGTTTTAAATATAGACCAGTGCTTTTGAAAATAAAAAAAATTATTAAAGAAAAAACCCACACAACTTAAATTGCTATGAAGATTAAAGTCTGGCTAGCCAGTTACCTTGATTACAATCAATAACATTGCAAAATTCCCTGACATTATTTTCATTGATCTCAGCTTGTTTCCTCTCGATGAAGGCTGATATCCGCCTGTCAATCTGCAGGTAATAAACATGATGGCATATATCTACTTCATTCTTTAAATTTAAAATTTAGAAAGATTTTTTTTTGCTTGTTTGTTTTTAAATTTAGGTAAATCACTTACTTCTGCTTTTCCAGCTTTTATTTGGACCACCTCTGGATCAAAATGAACACGAGTATCTTTCAGATCTCCCAAGTCATAACTTGGATACTTTTCTTCAGTCTGACAGTTACCATCATAAATATCTGAACTTGTTTCACAGGTTTGGCTTTCTGGTTTACCTGCGGGTTCAACATGGCCTATATTTTCCTCTTTAATCAAAGCCTGGAGTTTTTCTAAAAGAGGCTGAACAAAGAAAACTGTATGTTAGGGTTAAAAAAAATAAAAGCCAAAAGATCCTATAAAAACAAAAAGCTGAGTACTACCACAATTTCCAAACCAAACCAACAGAAATAATTTTTGGGAATTACAACATCTTCCTCTAATGGAGTACAGTAATAAGATTAGAAAAAAGCCTTCCAAATACTGTGCACACCATGATTCTGACCTTTTTGACCTGTGTCTTTTAGAGATTTGTAGAGGAAAACTCCCAAATTTCTGTGACAATCAGTCTGTACTCCCCTGTTACTAGCTGAATCAAAGCTTCAATCGCTGGCATCATTGCCACTTAATTAACATGTCATTCAAATGCTTACTCAGAACAGTAAGGCTTAGTATTTTTTCCTCCTTAACATGAAAGCCAGTGCTTTTACACTGTAAAGCCTTTACTTTATCACCACAGCACTAGGTTCTCCACTTGAAACCACAGTTGCCCAACTGAATGAGAGAACACAGACATGAAATATGTAGGCATTATCCCGAACACATGCTTTGCTTGACACGGTTGATTATCTACTTAGGTCATGAAATTAAATGAGAGAATGCACTGACATTTGTAGTGGCAAAAATGCTTATTCTACTGCACTAACTCTTACACATGATGTAATAACAAAACCTCAGTACATATATATGCCACTGCCTCTTTTTTAATTTTTATCAGTTTCACCTAATCTGAATACCATAGTTTTATCTTCTCTCCAGTAATTATTTTACTTTTTTAAAGACAACATGATTTTTACCAGTCATGTTTTCTTACATGGAATCAAATTCCTACTTGCAGTGTTTTGACAGCTGGATGTAAATTTTACTTGCTTTTATCTTGCATATTTTCTCTTTCTGTTCATCACACCAAAGATTTGGTGGATGTCTGGAAAAAAAAGGGCCTTTCTTTTACCTACAGACAAGCAAATACAGAAACTTCCTTTCTCATCCTCTCAGTACTACTCACCTGAAGTAATTCATTGACTAGCTGAAGTAAAATACCAGTATTCAAATCCCCATCTTTTACATATGAACTATCAAAGTCAAACACTGTTCAGTTACTAGGTGACAAACCGCTAACACTCCCTGCCATGCAACTAAATTACATGTACTTTTCGCAGGGTAGGAAAGTTTCAAATAGTTAAAAGAAATGACAGTAATGGTGACTGGCTACTTGGCAAGATGAGACATTAATGTCAAAGAAATTACTCTTTTAAAAAAAAAAAACTACACTGAAAATATATTTAATTGCAGTAAGACACTCCAGGATGTGTCATGCTGGGATAATGCCACTTCTTGAACCACTGAAAGCACTCTATGAGCCTCAAAACTCACCCAACGCATGGAATCATTATCATAGCATGACACACACCTGCCGTGTCTTATTGCTTAATTATAACCCACCATAGATGGAAATGTATCACATTTATAATGCAAGTCTAGAAATCAATGAGGCTGCATTTATTCAGCCTGCTCACCTACAGTGGCTATTCTCAACACTAATCTGAAAAATCCGTAAGCGTGAGTACCTATGGAGTATAGTGGAATCCCGAGCATCTAATACTTTTGCATTCCTTTTTTGTTGAACAGAACAATGTAAGATCAAAATTACTAAAATTTTACAGTTTAGATATATAACTACTTTCAGTTGTTGATCACTTTTGTCAAGTCAAATGCGTCCCATGAAATATTTACCTGTAAACATAAAATATGCTGCTGAAGTGCACTAAAGAGCAATGCTGGCTGAAGTGCTGATGTGCTCTGAAGCTTGCTCCAATCGATTACAACTTTCACAATATCGTCTCCGAGGTTAAACTTCAACAGGGCAAAACAAACACAATAAAAAATTATGTTATCTGTATCAACATCACAGAACTATACAAGACTACTACAAGACAACAATTATGCTCAGTCTCATACAGACCCACACCCTTTTTATATGAGGACATTGGAAAGGTTTGATATTAATTATAGTCCAAGCAGTTGTCGTGGTATTTGTAGAGCATATTCAAAAATTAAAAATTCCTTACTAACTCATCATATAGTCATTGTATTAATCTGGTCCTTAGCTTTATTCAATTAATTATTGTACAAAAGCATACCATTTATGTTGATCACTTGTACCTACTTCTAACAGACGCTAGCACCACCAGTAGGAAGAAACATGTATCCAGGATGGCAATCTCCTGTATGTTCATGTATTTTCTTCAGAGATTTGTAAGACTATCTATGCCTGCATGACCAATGTCTTGATGTGGCACTATGTCACATTCTTGAATTTTTTACTTGCTGCAAATCCAAAGGAAGCTTTGCATTAAAAATATGTGTATAAAAATAAATATTTAAAAAATCTCAAGGTTAAACAAACTCTAGACTACACAGTACCACTACCAAATCCATTTCCAAACCACACTATTTTCCTGTATATGCATTTGGATCAAAATAACAATTGCCACAGTCTATTCTCTTTACCAAGGAATTGCAATGTTTAATTCCCAAAGCAATAAACACATATAGTGAATCTGAAGTTTTATTTAAAAGAACTACATGTCTTCTATAAGCTAAAAATAAACTTTCGCTTTCTAATACAGAGCCAATTGTCAGTGATCACTAATTAACTACACACATTCATTCACACCCACCTTCACCATTTTTGTTATACTAAAACTCTTCAAGATCTTGAAGTAATGAGCACTTTCATTTCTTAAAGCCAAGCAGGTTTTTCTTCAAACAAACATTCTGCAAGTGATCCCCAAATTCTAAATACAGATAAAATTCTTGTTTAAAATCAAGAGGGCGTAGAGGTACTCTGCTTGCCACACTGAATTCCCAATTTATATGCATATTTGTATGTCTATCCCTCACTCCTCCTTCCATTAAAAAAGGGGTTGTGGGTGAAATAGAAAAAGGTACCTCAGGAAGATGACAAAAGTGACCTTGAACTTATAGTCTAAAGACATCTACCCTCTAACAGCATCAAATATTACGGATGAGAACACAGAATGCATATGCATTTGTTTCCTGAATCCACTGTACAGAGTACAAGGAAACAATGGGAAATGAATACAAGACTGCCTCCATCATTCTGAAGGAAAAGCTGTGGATGATAAGTTGTTCCACATGAGTTATCACAATTTTGTATGCAAAGAACCATAAGCCTGAGCCTTCCTTCTTTAGTCAAAGATCAGCCTTTTTAAATCCAGCAGTAGTTCCCAAATTACATAGCAAGCAAAACAGTCTGACTAGATATATAATGTATTTTAGACAATTTTCACACAAATTATTATTCCTGTTTAGTACTTAAGCTACATAGGATGTAAAAAAAGTAATGTTTTAGGAAATAATAGTTTTGAATACCTTTCAAAATCAAGAATGTATTTAGAATTTAGAAGAAACAAAATTTACTTTAAGAATTAAGCCATTGTGTGTATGTCATCATCTGAAACATGTATTTCTCCACAGAGTTTCTACAGTAACATCCCCTATATGCTCTATTACAGACCACTGTCAGGGTAAAAAAGGTGCAGCTGTAAGTTGTCGTAATGAAACAAAACAGAAGTCCTACTGCAATTTCCTAATAGGCCCCCTTTTTCGAAAAGAATCAGCTGATGTGTGCCTTCATATCACAGTGTGCCACTACTGTCCAGGTGGTTCAATGAACAAAACCTTCAGAACTTCTGACTTCAAATAATTTAGAGGCCAGTAACATTTTCAACTCACAGACACTGTTTTTAAGTACAATTAAAGAATAAACCCCTCCTCCATTCAAACAAGTTTCCAGTACAACAGCGTAAGTTCTCGGTGTTTCACGTCCTTATACCTATTAGAACTGTGACAAACAGGTTTATAAATTCAGTGTTTTGATAACTTTAAGGCCTTTGTCTGTTTATAACTCCACAGCCTATTCTGCAGCCATTTACAGGACTGTAAATCATTCCAGCTCTTTGAAATCTGTTTTACGAAAAACACTGTCACTAGAGTTTTAAAGAACTTTTCAGGATCAGCCATATTGGTTTTATGAGTTGTTATTCTCAGAAGTCCTCCCAGTCACTGTGCTGCAATTGATTGCCCTAGTAAAAAAATTACTGCACCAGAAATATTCCTGTTTACAATCCAACCTGCTAGCATAAATCCAACCTTAACTACTATGACAGACCACAAACTGTGACTGCTAAGAATCTGGCACATGCTCACTCATCTCTATAAAAGAAAAATGGGGACTCCGTACTTTCAGTTAAAAATGCAAGACAGATTGCTAGAGTCAGTAAGTGGGTAAAACACCACAGTTAAATCTAACTCAGGTGCTGGCAGAAAGCGTGTAGCTTAACAGCTGGAAAGGATCTTGACTGAGCAATTAAAGTGACTTTCCCACCTAAGATGGAGCAACCAACCCCTTATAGTTCAGTGCAATGGACAGTAAAATGGGTCTGCTGTCATGGAAATAAGACACTCCAAACACCAATGAAGACTGTAACTACTGGAACTCTACTGAGGGGATGCACACCCAGTTATTTTTAAAAATCACTAAGCTCTCTCCAGTGACATGCTACCTGTACAGCAAATTTTGGAGAACAAGTAAGCTACTGAAGAAAAGAGAGAAAGTAAGAGCATTTAATGTAGTTTTGAAAACAATCAATTAAACTTGTGATGAGTACCCCGGTTAAGAGCTTAGGAAACTTTCTCGTTAGTCTTCTTTGTGGTTTTCATAAATACAAGAGTTCCATCTTTTCACTAACATTATTGTTGTAAGTACAACACTATGAATAACAGTATTACATTTAGATAAACTGACATTCACTAGTTCTTCACTGATCACATTTAGAATTTTCACCAAGAAGAATTATGGGGCATTTCATCCTCACTACATAACTAGTTTTCATGTCTCTGTGTATGATTATCAAGTTGTTTAGCACTGCACTCCTATTCAAAAGCTAGGGTAGTTTTTAACCACTTCAGAGATAGGAAAACTGAGACTCTTACTACTCAGTGCCTGAATTTTCAAGCCCGTAATTTGGGATGCTGTTTGTTTGAAAACTGAGACAATTACTAGCAGATTTGGAGGTGAGAAGCAAATATAATACAGAGTTCTACACAGACGAGGTGAAATACTCTAAAAATTAATTTCAGGTCAGCCAGCAGCTACTACCAAACTGCCTCTGTATCTAAGAGTCCATTTCTGAGTAGTTCTGTTACATAAACATACATTAAGTTACACTAGCTCCTGCAGATATAGCTCATCATCTGGTCCCAGACTTCTAGAGTGCTAATTTTTGAAGCAAGAGTGTACTTCTACGGCCTTCAGAGAACTACATATATGTTTCCACAGTGGAAAATACATTAATCTGTAAGTTATTTATAGCAATAGTTGTTACTAAAACCTTCTCCTGATAAGGGCCTCCCACCACTACTGTAACATCTGTTAAATAATTCATAGCCATTACTCAACCTAAAGTAGGTGTTCTTAAGTACCATAGAGCAAAGCTCCTTTAAAAATTCTGACCCACTGAAATGCACTGTTTGTGTCACAGTATGTTATTACCAAGGCAGGGCTAACTTCAACCTCCTGATCCCTTATACACAGTAAGCTTTCAGTAGCGTTTCAATTCAGAATCGCTGAATGTGAAGATACAGCAATTAGGTAGACTGCAGTATCCCACGGCAGAGATCATCCGCCAAACTACTAATTGACACGAAACGTCCCGTCACTACGAGGCAAAGGCACGGCCCCGACTGTGAGAGAGCAGCAGCAGTACCCTTCCGCCTTAGGCTGCCCGGGCCGGGACGGAAGGAGAGGGGGTGGCCGCCGGCACCGCCTCCGCGGCAGCCACGCTCCTGCGGGCGGGCGCGAACAACAGCCAGGAGCGAGGCCGCTCCCTGGTTTGTAGACTTGTGTCCTCTACAGCGCCGCAGTCTGTTCCTGGAGCCCGGGAGGGCCCCGCAGGCCGGACACAAGCAAGAGCTCGGGCCCCCGAAACGAGGTGAGGTGAGCTGGGCGCGGCGCCAGCCCCGCCTCGAGCCTCCCCCTCCGCCCGGTCCGCACTCACCTGCCCCGCCAGCCCGGCCAGGCAGCGCAGAGCGCTGCTCGCTACCTCGGAGGCCGCGAGGTCCGTGTCCGGAGCGCTGCTGCCGGGCGGGAACGGGCCGGGCGCCGCCGCCGCCATAACGCCGGGCCGGGCTCGGTCGCCGTCGCGCCGCGATGACGAACCCTGCCGCTGGCCCCGCCCCGAGCGCTGATGGACAGGCGCGGCAGCCAATCGGGAGGGCTCTCCGGCGGAGCGGCGCAGGGCGCGGGCTGGAGTCCTGCCTGCGCCGTGCCCGGCCGTGCCGGGCACCTTGGTCCCGCACCTCCCGCTTTGCCCCCGGGCTTCATCCTGCCCTGCAGCAGGCTCACCGGAGCGGTCAGCGCGGGCCCTTGTCGGGCACGCTCATAGGAGGACAACAAGTGTTTATTTAAGTGCGTCAGATTGCTGCCCTTGCTTCAGCTGTGTTTTTCTGGATACACCTTCGCTATTTTTTGTTCTTCAAAGATCTGACTCTTCTGGTTACAGCAGGGCTGTTTTTAAATCAGGCTACAAGGTTTGTCAGAGTACTCTGATTATGGGGATTGCAAAATTGCGTTCCCTGTAAGATGGTCTTAATTCTTTCCTAAAACAATGTAGTGCTGACAAAGATTTTCTACCTGATGCTTCTTTTGATACCCTAATTTTGCTCCTTTAACCTTCATACTAATTCCTGTTCTGACACACCCCCCCACCCCCAATATCTTTTATTCCATTGGAAAATGGTAAGAGCTGTTGTATATACGAGTGTTAAAACATTCTTAAATAAAAATGTTAGAAAGGCAGATAATTTTTTTTGGCAGTTATTTTAGGTGTTACTTTAAAGGCATTTCCCTATAAAGTATCCAGATAAGACTTACCTAAATTTAATGAAAATAAATCCCACTAAACTGAAGGCATTCAGCAACAGCAGTTGGCACAATATTTCAGAAGACTTGAGTAGATCCAACCCTGCTCAATTCCAGAGGAAAATAAGTTCCAAAGAGGACTTCAGTGTTAATGATTACAAATATATTTCATGGAGAGCTGCAGTTACCAAGAATATTTTCCCTAAGGTGAGCTAGATGGCATTTAGCTGGATTCAGTTGATGAGAACCATTCTTTGGGTTCAGAAATGCTTACAGCAGAATGTGTTCATGAGTTGGAAGCTCGGAAATATATAGCAATTTACTTAATTCCTGCAAAGATACTGTTTTTGTCAAATGACAACATCTTGAAAACATACACAGAATATGTTAGTCAATTAAGATAAATTGTGAAATTTTGTTTCACGTTTCTGTGCAACAGTGTTAACTCCAGCTCATGGTCAAGCCGTGACTGCCTCAGCCTGCCCTACCTCTTGCAGTTTTGGCTCTGGACAGGCAGCTGAAACAACTCCGCAAAATGTAATCATCTCATTTGGATCAAATTATGAAGCTTTCAGAAAAAGGGAAAATACACTGTCCTTCCCCCACCAGCACTACAACAATGAATAAAGGTGTAAGTAATTTGCTGGACAGAACAGAATATGGAGCATAGATGTAACAACCTGGCATTGTTTGTTGCTTCTGTGTCAGAGGAGACAGTTTGCCCTGGCTGATTTCCCCATGACCTGCAAAGATGGAGCAAGTCCAGGCATTTGAATCGAATTTTAACTTCAAGTGATGAATGCTCAGCTACCTGATAAATTCCACTTTTGGAAAATGCAGCTTTCCTGGAGTGATAAGCAGGTGTGTGCCTACTTTAGCAGCGAGCATGTGTAGCTTTCTTAGTTGAGTGACCTAAGATCTTTCCTTTGCTTTTGAGCGCATTATCTTTACATCTACAAGAAGTTGTTTTGGGGTACAAAACATTTCAAGTGAAAAATACATAGATAAGCATATAAATGTCAGAAAGATACTGGAGGTTATGTTGCCATATACTCAGAAATACGAGGGAGATTGAGTGAATGTGGACGATACCAAGAGACCATGGAGGCAATACATGGTTATTTATTCAGTGATAATTACAAGAGTAAGCAAAAGACCGTGAAATAGTCTGTAGAGTTGTTGATGTCCTCCTATTATTTACCAAGCAAAAACTAGATCTCAGGCTCTTCCTGTTGATAACAAATACCTTCTCCTAGAGAAAGAGTAACAATTCCCATGGGTAAAGATTTCCTTCCTACTTTCACTGTCTCAGAAGACCTTGATCTGCGTTGTGGCTGCTGACTGGATAAATTCAGTATCATCTGAAATGTCACAGGTTAAATTATGCAATGCATTATGCAAACATGAACAGAAGTAATCCAAAGTAATATAAGAGATTAGGAAAATGAGAGCATGTGAGAAAATGAGAATAGGGAAAAAACGTGGAAATACAGCTAAGACAGAATATGTTAAATGTTCATATCTAATGGAAGAGACAGGCCAGAGCAGAATGGTTCCAAAAGATGATTGTATGCTCACTGCATGTAGTGCATGGTAAAAATGAATGCACTTGCAATTGCTTCTGGCAGTAAAGCTGGCCACAGTAAATCCAGGCCTCCTATAAAGACAGAGGAAATTATATGGCATGCTTACTAAAGCTGGTGAAACAATAAAACATTGGAAGCTCTCATTGCTGGAAAGACACTGGCAATTTGGAATGAATTTATAGGAAACTGGCAAGAAGTGGATTGCCAGAGATAGAGATACTTGTTTAGAAGGAATCAGAAGATTTAAATATGTCTAACTTGGCAGTAATGTCCAGCTATTTTAATAATGTGACTACCAAAGGAGGGAATAATCTGCAATTGCTTTCAACATTCAAGGATAGAGTTATCATGATAACATTAAATCTTCTGCAGCTTTGATCCCTGAAATGGATCTGTGAGGCCTATAAAAGCTTCTCCCACTGAAACCACCGTGAAAAATATAAGCAGGAAACCATTAAGTTCTGAAATAGCAAATATTGTTGTTGAATTGAAATGATTTGATTTTGGACTATTACTTCTTTTTATTTGGTTTGTAGAATGATAAGCACATACACCTCTTTCCAACTCTAGGTGCCTTTAAACACTTTAAAATCACAGAAAACTTCAGTAAATTGACACAAGTTCTGTTTGCTGGTCACCACTGTCATAACTGCTAGCACTATTTCTTCTGATGAATATTACATTACCATAATTTCTGAACTCATACTTTAATTGTTCCTAACACTCAAATAAAGGCAGGTGCTTTGCAGAATATATCAGTGGTTGAAGCTTGTTGTGCTCAAGAGTGAAGTGCTAAGCTGAGGAGGCTGCATAATGTATAAGCAGATTTTTCTCCTGAATTGAAAAACTTGTGCTGTGTACTTCTGCTTACGTCAGCTGTAGCACAGAGAAAGGTAAAAAGGCAATGCTTCAGGAAAAAAAACTTTAACTGAAATAATTTGGAGCTTCAAAGTTAAAGACAATACCCTGAATTCTGCCCAGAGCCCCAGGCAAGTGGTGCAGCTTGACACCAACTGCTGTAAATGTATTTGTCCTTAATATTCAGATTATCAATGCTGCTTTAAATTATCTCAGTTTATAAACAGAAAATTGGTGGTATCCTACTCATTGGTTTAAAATGGGACATGACCAGGTCCCTCCAAAATAAAAGCTTTTATTTATTTTTCCAAGCATTAATTTCAGAATTAAGAGCACTTCTGTTGCTTCCCAGGTACCCAGGAAAAGGTATTGCTCCCACCGAATTTATGGATCCTGGTTCAACACGATACTTAAGCTGGTGCCTAATTTTAGGTACTAGCCAGCTGTAAAAAACTCAACCTGCTTCCTTAAAATGTACTCGTGTGCTTATTAACTTCATCAGATAAGGCTCTGATTTGCAAATCTAATTCTCCAATAGGAGCTGCATTTTTTCAAAGCAAATGTCTTTGCTGAATTTTGGTGTTTCTCTCACTCTATCAAAATTTAGAAAGCCCTGTTCAGACGGGATTGGAATGGGATTTGTATGAAATGTCCTGTGGGAAATACAGCTATGATGTTAAAGGAAAAAACCCTGAACCCATAAGTATCATATATATATATATATATATATATATATATATATACATACAAACTTCAATAATTTATTTCTTCCTAACATCCATGTTGCTGTTGCCCAAATTCTGTTTAGTGTCCTTATCCTGACATGAACATAGACCCATGGCCCTTCCTTTCTGAATTCTTTTACCCTTGAGATTTTCTAATACTGTTCCATGCTTTGCCATACTTTATTTTTCATGTCTTTGTTTAGTAATTTTACACCATATTTAAATTTTATCTACCTGCCTGCCCCCCCTTTCTTGGTGCCATATGCAAATAAGATTGATTCTCTCTGCACAAAAGTCTTCAGTTCAGTTATATAATTTGGGATCGAGAACTGACCCCTGCTGCAAGTCCCAGCTCAACAGCTCTTCTTAGAAGTCAGCAAACTGTTATTATAATTATTCTGTGTTCACAAATTCCAGACTTCTATAGCCACTTTGAAAGATTTGAATATAAACCTCCTTCCTATCATTCTTTGTGAGACTATCACATGAAAATGTAGAAGGTATCTTGCAGAGTAGGTGTCCATGCTCACAGTGTTTCCCCTGTCTGTAAACTGTCAATAATTTGATGCACGCAATGTGAAATTAAGCACTCACACCTGAAGACAGTCTAAAATGTAATAACTTTCCATTGCATTAATATGTACGGGCCTCACATATTATATATTTAACTCAGGTTTAACAGGACACTTGAAAATCTATATTTAACAGGGAAACAGGAATATAGCATATTTATTTCAGAGAAAATTTAACTTTCGGGATTCCTTGATTACTGAGTACTTGATTTTAAAAGATGTAGCTTGCATCTTTATTAGTATAACTTGACTATTATTTTAAAATGAATAATAGTAATAGTTGCTTTGGAATATTTTAAAAAGGGTTCTTCAACTATGCTATGTACAAGCTTTTCACATAGGTGTGAGCCAGGTCTTTTTCGAAATATTACCGTTTTCCTACCCTTTTCTGTCATTATTGGTCTGATCAGTCCTTCTGTGTCCTAGTAGGCTCCCCCCAATATTGACTTGAGGAACCAGATCTGTATCTGCTTTAGATATGAGATTCATGGACTGATAGTTGAAATTAGGGACCTGTATTATGTGGTTGAGTTGAGCCTCTCAAAATAGCCATAAGGAGTTCATATATCCATATGGCAAAGTAAGATAGGTAGCTGAATCCTTTAAGCTTAAACTTATGAATCTGTACAAGTAATGTACAAATAATGCCCTTTTTGGATATAAAGTAACTACAAAGTTATTTGAATGATCTCGTTTGTATTATAGTAAATGAACAAAGGATTACACTCATCTTTACACTGTCAGTATTTTTCTAATGCAGAAGAGGCATTTGTTAATAGGGAATATGGAGTCTTTGACATTTTGGGTCCCAATCCTTCAGTGAAGCTAGTCATGCACCTGCTTATTTGTGCACAAATCATTCTAATGAATTCTAAAGGACTATTCATGTGCATAAAGCTAAGCCTGTGTGTAAAAGCCTTTGCAAGACTGGGCCTAGGTTGTAAGTTTGATAATGACCTGAGACTGATTCAGCAGAGAAAAAACAGTCCTTTTAAAAAGTTGAGGAGTGTAACTCCAGCTCAGCTGAACAGGTATGGGCAGTGCTAAAAGACAAAACTCTAAAAACTGATCAAGAAAAAATGGCAAGAGATATAAATCTTTTTTTTATTTATATTTTATAATACTGCATTTTACCTTAATCTTATTAATTCTTGGCTGCATTTTATTTTCATTATGGCTATGAATTCCATTTGAATAACTTTATGCCAGGAGCTTAGACATTTCCTGTTTTAATTTCATGTATATATATAGCCTGTGTGGAAGAGTAGATCCACTTAGAGAATGGTAGTTGTGAGAAATCATAACTAGAACTCTTCAGGAAATTTTTGCTTAAGGAGAAGTCACGACATCAACACTGTTTCAGAAAGAAGTGTACAGAAGAGCTTTGTGCACTTATTTGTTTGTACCATGCAATATTCTGCCTTCTGCTGCATTTTGTGCTGCACTGCAGCAGTTTATGTTCTCAGAGACAGCACAACACCTGCAGGAGCCTCCGAACAACATCAGGGGAATTCCAGTCATTGTGACGCATCTCCTGAAACCATTTTCTAGATATTCCTTCCATGAGTTGCTTCCATCAGGAACTTCCATAGAATTTGGTAAAGACCTTTCATGTGTTTAATATTAAACACACAGGCAGTGCTACTGAAAGTACCATGAAAAATAAATGAAATTACTTAAATATAAACTGAGTTCCTGCTTGGGCCTATGGTGTTTGGCATTTGAGTGAGTGTATGAAATAGGCATCTTTATGCACAAGAAATGTTTTCCTTTGCATATAGCTAACTGTTGTCTTAACACAATCTGTTCACTGGTAAAATAGTCACTCTACTCAGTGGCCTTTAGGTAACGCTGGCTATGAAATGACACTTGTTTGTTAGGCTCACTAAGTTAAACTTGATAAAAAAAGAGGGAAAGTGTCTTTGTCCTGCAGCTTAATCACTTTTATTCACACTAAATATCAAAAAAATTTCAGTTTCCTCAGTTAAAGGATGAATTTAATAGCTCAGCTGGGTGAAGAGAGCAGGTTAGGCATAGACAAACCATACCAAAGCTGCAGTGGGTGAAGGTGATAGCCCAGAGACCACCACTGCTGACTTTATTCTAGTTGTTGGCCTTGGGGACATGACAGATCTTTTGCTGTTTGATACAGGAAAAAGAAGGAACAAGGTACATCTTATAAGGCATGGTTCTCCTTTACTAACCTTTTAAATTATTATTTAAGTGAAGATTGGAGTTATGGAGTTGGAGAGTATTTTGCTGTTTTATAATTTAGCAGTTCAGGCTGAAGTTTCCTTTATGTTCTTTCTGGCTTTATACAGGCAGCCTAGAAGATGGACATTTGACAGGCCACAATAGACTGCTCCTTTCCCAGGTATCTCCTGCTTGTTTCCTTTATCTGTGAATAGGAAATGGCTTAAAGGCACCTGTGTTATGAAGGTCCCAGGGGCAGCTGCCTGACTAGTGAATGCCTGATTATGTGTTAACATGCTTTGTCAGATATTGGCAGAATCTGTTCTCTTCTTTTGCCTTTTCAGCAAGGGTACCATTGACAGACTGGCTACCCATTTATAGAAATGTTGTCCATCAAACTGTGAGGAAGGACAATGGTGTTTTTCTGTGACCAGTGACTGTGGGAAACTTTTCTTTGGCTATTCAGGCAATTTTTGTAGCTTGCTCTGAAGAGGAGAGACTGATGAGTGCAAAAAGTACAATTAAGCAAAGCCAGACTTCAATTGAAGGCTGTAGTGTAGTCTGCTTGTTCTCATTTTTTATTTGGAAAAAAATCTATGGGTTTTCACGTTGCTGTGTGGCATTCAGCGGGGGGCTATTACAATCCTAAATTTTTTTTCTAGACCACCTAATTCTAAGTAAAAATTAAATGTAATGAGAGCCACTTGGAGTTCTGAATATTTTAAAGCATAATTCCCACAGAAGGGATTCGACCTAAACTGTGGAGAGCATCAGTTGGCTAATTATAGCTGCATTTTATATTACAGCAGGTGTCAGATGCAGTCATCTCAATAAAGTCCACATAATACTCTGAAAAATAACAAAAGCTTTTCTTTGAATGTGGGTACTAATTTCTGCTAGGTGTCATATGAGCTCTGATACTTCTTATTGGCGTTAACAAGAGCACTGCAGCACTCAAACATGCTTTTTGCTTAGGATGAATTGATACTGTAAAGCACTTACTAGTCAGCCTTGGCAGATGTCAGTAGTTAATACTAGTGTTGCAGAGGTTGGTATATAATGCAAAGAGTCTTATGTAAATACTTTTAGATGATGGGCTGGTTTTGAGAATGAGTGTGAGCCATGCGTCGACTTACTTAATGAAAGCTGAATAGACAACAGCAGAATAACTGCACTTCCTTTAACTTCTGTCTTAAGTCCTCTGCAAGTAAAGGGCATATGGGAAGGCAGTAAACTAGGTGAATAAAAATATTAAACTTGATAAGCACTTCATGCATTCGTACTATTTTCCAATTCAATGGAAGCAGCAAGTTTGAGTTACTGAAATGATTGATGAGAAAGGTGTTTCCTAAGCCTTGAAACTGAGGTTCTCTAAAGATTATATCTTCAGAATAGCCTGCATGTGGTGAAACTACAATCTATAGACATTTGATGGTCATCTGACTTCCTAAATAAAAGACGGAATTCTATGATTCCAAGAGGATTGTGTTTTAAAATATTGATGAATCATTAAAATAAATGCTTAAGTGGGAAGCATGCACAGAAGCCCTTGAATACAAGGAATTGTGATGACATTGAAGTGGAGTTGCAGACACAATGGATAGGGTGAAAAGCAGAGGCAGGAAAACCTGCCCAGCTGGTTGTGCTTGGCCTAACATGCAACAGAGATGTTTCCCAAGATTGCCATATACCCTGAGAAGCAATAAGATAGGAGATGCTTCAGTTCAGAATAGCGGGGTCAGGTCATGGGGGGCTTGCTGCTTCTCCTGAAGGGGATAGGAGGTACCTGTTCCAAACACAGAGAAGGGCTTCAACAGTGAATGATGCAGGAGAGACAAGCATGTACTAGCAAAACAAAGAAAATGTGACAGATGATCAAATCTTCCAACATCTGAGTCTCCTGCAAGAGCAACAAGCTACTTAATGAACTACTGTCTAGTGCCATATACCTTTCCCTCACATCATCTCCCCTGAGAAAAGGTAGTCCTAAACACCAGGCTGCCTTTGTCTTTTACACAGAAGTCTAAGGAGAATTGCAGAGGTTATATAAATAATAAACACAACTTAATGTTATAAATATTTTATTTTTAAAATGTAAAAACCAGTCAGCTGAATAAAACTGAACCACAAGTTCCAGCATGTTACCTTAGCAACTCTGTAAGAAAAAGGCAATCACAGATTATGAAGTATTATTTAATGTTTTGTAGAACTGCAGAATAAAGTATAATCTTATCATATTACATACTGAATATACTAACAGGTAGGAGGAGCCGGATTTTGGTCTGAAGTCTAGATGCAATAAGTGACTTGTAAAAAATAAATGTAAGTAAATTAGAGTAATATATTCACATTAAGAATACATGCATTTCTGGTTTAACATGCACATATTGTTCAAGAAGAAGTTTCTAAATACAATACTAAACATATATAATCCATATTAACCTCTAAACCTGGTCAAAAACAGTTACAGAAACCAAATAGATGTACAGAAATAAAAATGAAGGAGAAATAATTTCTTGGCTAATCTGTGCCTGGCATCTGGGGAGCAGAGGGCTGTCTATGAGAGAACTGCTTTAGCTCTCACACATCAGGTTACCTCTAAGGAAAAGACCTATGAAAAGGCCTGATAACAAAAGCCCAATTACAAAAGCTGAAGGCATGATTGCCATTGTATAAATGAATTTACTAATTTACCCCATTTATTCCACATAGCCTCTTTCTGAAACCTTTTAATATGAAAGCAGCCCAGCTCAACTTGGAAAGCTCTTAGGAGTTCTGTGAAAGGCTGGGAAGGTAAACAAAAGGTTAAGTTAACTGCAAGAACTGTCAACCTAGTCATCCTTTAGTTGTCTCTCTTTTAGCACAAAAGGCATGAGGAGACCACCACTGTACTACATTGCTTCTGCAATATTGTTTTCCCGTGTCTTAAATTTCTGATCTTGGGATGTGCTCCTGTCCATGTGATACAGAGCTAGGTATTAAAGAATAAAACCTCCTCTTGCTGGTAGACATTCTAATTTTTTTTCATTTTAGGGGAGAAGGTAAGGGATAGTTATCAGCAAGTAGAGGTCCTACTGTAAAAAGTAACTACCAGTAGTGTCACTCAAAATGTTTATCTGCAAGTAGAGGTGCTGTTGTAAAAAGTAACTACCAGTAGTGTCACTCAAAATGTATTACCCTTTGCAGATTACAAAAACGTAGTAACTTCCCCTTGTGATGTCTCCGAAGGATTCTTTGGAAGAAGGCATCTAACAGTTCCTGTGGTAATGACTGTTACTGCCCTATATATGACAAGAGTTTTATGTGTGTGTAATTTTCCTCGATTATTATAAAAAAATGAATGTGTCTAGGATAATTTTGTATGTCACCTACTGTGAAAATTGTTTTGGTGGCAAGCAAAATCCACTACTCTGTGTCCTACACTTCTTGATATTAGGGCTTACATGAAACTTACTGCACTCTCCTTTCTCCATGGTTACTGCTACTTCTTCCCCTCCATTTTTGCTTTTGGATTACAGAGATGTGATTTCACAGTACAAGCAGCACAGATGTCAGCTGAAGGTCTGTATCTGCCAGGTGTCTGCATAAGAGCTGAGCCAATGTATGCAGCTGAGCACAGCTCACTTTCTCACATAGGTGTTCAGCACCATTTCTCTGAATCATAGCCTTGCATAACCTTTGGAAGTACCTCTGGGAAATTTTAGAATGTACTCAAAACACAATACTTTGGCAGGCAGAAGTCAGAGGAAGTCTTGCTCTGAATTCATTGTGAATGCTCAGAAAAAAGAAGTACTTCCTGCATTTGCTGCTGTGGTTGCAAAGGATGGGCTTAATGATGTAAAACATTGGGAAAGTATAGGCTTTATATGAATATGTCACCTATAAATATAAACATATATAAATAATCACCTATACTCAAAGAAAAGTGGTGGGAGATCACTTGGGTTTACTGACAGACTCCAGTAGAGAGAGGAAGATGAATCTTTAAAGCCAACAAGGAAGTCATGTAGTCCTGTAATAACTAGGAGCGAATAACTGATTTCTGTAGTTTGGGAGCGCAGGATTGTGTCATTCTGATCTCTGTGGAACTGTCTTCCACTTGATAGGGCTCAAAAGCATCCAACACCTCCTTTCTGAAAGCTGAGCTTCACAAATTGGGTCTCCTGAGGAGAGAAGTGGTGTGATCCAATATATGCACCATCCTGTGATGGTACCACAGGGAGATAGATGAACTTTGCTGTAGATACTGCAGTTACACACCAGTAGACAATGCAGATTACAAGTTATTCCAGCCTAATGCTGCTAGTCCCCATGTGCAAACAAATGCAAGAGGTGGGAGACTGGGAACCTTTGACTGAAGGGGGAAAGAAATCTGAGGAAGAAAGAAATCAGGTGATGGCTTACATAGGAAGCAGGTTGGGAAAGAAGAGATTTGCACCTCGTAGGACCAAGACCTTGAAATAGGTCAGGGAGCAAAGGAAGATAGGAATGCGAGAGAGGAAGTTCTGAGCATGGTGCCTACTGTGACTGACACTTTCAGGGACCACAAATGGAGCCAAAGCCTTATGTCTGAGAAGGCCTTGTGCTTCTCGAATAGTTTTCTAGGCAACATTATTTCACTGTCTTCATGAAACATTAGAACTGACTACAATGCTGTAGGTTCAATAAACTGGGGAGATTTGGGGAGGAATGTTGTTCTCTAGAGTAACTTCGCAAGATCAGCTTACAGAAAGGGATGGGGAGTGGGAGGAAAAAAACCACATGAGAAACAAGAACTGAAAATTCCCAGAGCATTTCACCAAACAGTATAGCTATCAGGAAGATCATTTTTGCATAAGGGAATGGCAAGATCCCAAGGGTGTCAGCAGTGCTGTACATTATACAGGGACAAGTTCATCCATTACTGGCACTGTGAAGAACTGAGTTATGCAGTCTAATGGTGGAGAATTTAATTCCTAGATCCAAGCCTCTGGGAGTGAAAAAATGGTTCTTGTTGCCCAATGTGAAAGATGTATCTTCTTTGAGAGCTCACTTCTTTGCTTTCGTTGAAGGAGAAAATAAAAAGATTTTCATAAAAATGAGGAGTAAACATTTGACAATATATCTGTGGACACAGTTTCATTTTACCTTGGCTGTGCCATGAAAGACCATGAAATATCTTCATCTGGCCTTTCATTAAACTACATTATCTTTAAACATATATCAAGGCAAGTAAAGAGTTTGTAATATTAAAAATATTTTAAAAGACTTTGCAGGTAATGTCTATGTGAAGGTTCAAGCAATCATCCAAGGCCAGAGTACTTGAAGAACTGAGGAACTGTTAAATTACTATGATCTTAAAAAATGATTACTGTAATACTTTGGAGAATACATTTTCCATAACAAATATAGAACATATTTTCTAATTTCTATTATGGTTATCAAGGTCATTCAGTGATAGAATGCAAAATCTTTTCTTTTTCTCATTCAGATACTGTCAGGTGCATAAATTCTATAGCTAATATAGAAACACATTTAAAAATTGGAATTTATTAATGAAGAGATTATGTCTTTGCCCAATATCATACAATAATTTTTATCTTCTGAATGGAATTTAACAATACACAGACTCTGGCTGGCTTTATTCCAGTAATACATGCTGTTTGCAAAAGTGTGTTGCCTTATATGTTAAACGCAGTGCACACACAATTACCCTAGCATTCCTTGAAAATTAATTTCAAATACACATTTATTGTAAGTGCTTTGGGGCAAGAACCTTCTTTTGTTATTAAACAATACAAATGGGATCTTGGCCCATAATTGGGGCTCCTAAGCACTGTGAATTCTTTCACCAGTGTCTCACATTCTCTTTCTCACTCTCTTTGTCCCTCTGCAGATTATGCCAGTGTTTACAAAGGTTGGGATCCTTTGCATCCTCATCAGTTTTTACATTTGCCCAAGAATCAGATTCAGTTTAGCCTAGCATTGTTCACAAAGATAAAAGGGTGACAGATCCTGACACATTTGTGCTTTTGAAAAGTGGAAAAGCTGATTTAATGCATAAACCCTATAGTAAAGCTGTCTCCAAGGTGAAATTGCGCCAGTCTTGGAATAAAAAGTGGAAGAAGACAGATACTTAAACTACATACAGTGATGTGCTTGAGCACTCTTTCTTATAGTATAACCAGAAAATGCTGTAATTGCCTTATTTTCCAGTTTTTAACTACTGAAACTTGGCTGATTTCTTTGTGATCAAAGACACCTAAGACACCTGATTTATGTCTTAGGTAATAGTCAATCTTCTTCACATGTGTGGGCTTCAATCACTATTATTTCAAACTATAATACTGGGCAAGATATATTACTGAATGCTTATTTTACAGTTTCATTACTGGAACAAACATACATGTGAGCCATGCATTAGTCACTGAATTACTAGACCTTAGTGGTAGATTTATACATGACAGATCAGTATGTTCTATCATAAATAAATGATTTAATTTACCAAAGTATTGATAATTCTTTGTGAATTCAATGACAGTGATTTAGTAAAACTAGAAAGAAATGTGAAATTATTAAAGACATACAAAGAGCCAGAACTGACAAATTACAAGTCTCTTTCTAAGGGCGGATACTTTAGCCTGGAGCTGAAAAGAGCTTTGCCACTGAAAGAGCATTGTGACCATAATGGTTGTTCCCCAAACAGGAGTGGTATAGCTACAACTATTCAGTCACAGGTTCTTAGGTTGTTTGTATAGTATAAAGCCAGTGGAAACCATTTCGAATCTCTAACTGGACCTCCCACATAACATATATCTAAGATTTTCCTGGAACTAATTCCTTCAGGAATTAGAGTATGTTTGAGAAAACATGCTAGTCTTGATTATGACATTTACAGAGATAAAAAATCTACCACAGTGCTGAATATGATGTTTCAATTAGTATCATAACAATGAAAAAAAAAGAGTCCTCTAGTTTAGATTTGTGTAACCTTTAATTTAAACCACTGAGTCTTATTACACATTGATTTGTCCAAAATGGAGACATGGATGAAACTTCATCTTTCTTTAGTAAAGACCTTATAGAACTTGGAAAAATCATTACTTAACTTGCTTTCTGAGCTTCTCTACTGACAGAACGTAGTGTGCAGAAAGCATATGAATTTACAGTGCTTGAGCTCATCAGCTCTGGCTTGCCAGGCACACCCATCTGATCAATGCTAAGTAGGTAAGACACAAACTGCCTCACGTTAAAGACAGTTTTAATGCCATATACATGAGATTTCTAAATTTAACTTTGATATGAAACAAACTGCCTCTAAAAAAGGTTGAGCCACCAGCAACGGAAAAAACCCTCTCCTTTTATTCAATACTCTTATATACATGTACATGCAGATCACATGAGGCTGCAGTTATAATTGTCATATATGCATCAGGGCAGGCTAAACTTTATATTCTCGGAGGTATTCAACATGTTTAGGCTTTATTCTGCTGGTCTGGTAAGGGAGCAGAATTACATTATTTGAGTTACAGTCTGCATTGCACATAGGTGATAGCTGTAGTTAGGATTGTTCCTAATGCTCATGTGTTGACTTTAAATGAATTACAGTGGATAAAAAAGTTGTCAGGGAAGGAAAACAGTTGATGCCAACATCTTTTTCCGTTCATTATTAATAGAAAGACATCAATGGAATCCTCACTTTCAAGAAAATCACAATTAGAGGCTGGAAAAAGATTAAAGAGATACAGGTACAGCAGAATGTCAAGGGAATCTTGCTATTATTTTGTCTCCTGGGACATGTTACACAGAATTAGTAGCCTAGTTATGGATTTGGACTGTAGAACCACTGACAGGCTTGTGACTGAATGCAAGATAAGCAGAGCTCGTGGTTCCACATTGAAAATCTGTATTCTGTTGCTAAAGAGCAGAGCTGATAAGGACAACTGATTGTAGTGGGCTGACCCTGGCTGGACACCAGGTACCCACTAAAGCCACTCTATCACTCCCTTCTGTAGCTGGACAGAGGAGAGAAAATATAATGTGGGATTTGTGAGTTGAGATGAGGACCGGGAGACATCACTCACCAATTACTGTCATAGGCAAAACAGACTCGAAGTGGGGATATTAATTAACTTTATTACTAACTGAATCAGAGGAGTATAATGAGAAGTAAAAGAAATCTTAAAAACACTTTCCCCCACCCCTCCCTCCTTCCCAAGTTCTACCTCCTCCCCCCAGCAGCACAGGGAGACAGGGAATGGCGGTTACACTCAGTCCATCACAGATTGTTTTGGCTGCTGCTCAGAGTCCTTCCCCTGCTATCCATGGGGTCCCTCCCAGAGAGACAGTCCTTCATGAACTTCTCCAGCGTGAGTCCATCCCACAGGCAACAAACTGCTCCACAAAAATCTCCACAAACTGCTGCGACGTGGGTCACTTTTCCACACGGTGCAGTCCCTTCAGGTACAACCTGTTCCAGTGTGGCCCCCTGACAAGGCCACAAATCCTAGCAGGAAAACCTGCTCCAGTGTGGGCTCCTCTCTCCATGGGTCAGCTGGTCCCTGCCAGGACCTTGCTCCAGCATGGGCTTCCCGTGGGGTCACAGCCTCCTTTGGGCATCCACCTGCTCTGGTGTGAGTCTTCTCAATGGGCTGCAGGTGGATCCTTGCACGCCCATGGACCTCCATGGACTGGAGGAGAACAGCTCCTCACCATGGTCTGCACCATGGGCTTCAGGGGAACCTCAGCTCTGCCACCTGGAGCACCTCCTGCGCCTCCTTCTCCACCAGCCTTGGTGTCTGCAGAGTTGTCCACATGTTCTCACTCTGCTCTTCTCTGGCTGCCATTTTCATCTGCCCAATAACTTTTTTTCCCTTCTTAAATATGTTATCACAGAGGTGTTACTATCAGTCCTGATTAGCTCAGCCTTCTCCAGCAGCATGTCTGTCCTGGACCTGGCTGGAATTGGCTCTGCAGGACATGGGGGAAGCTTCCAGCAGCTTCTCACAAAATCCACCCCAGTAGCCCCTCTGCTACCAAAACCTGGCTGCAAACCCCCAATATCTTACAGAAGATATTCTCTTTCTGTACAGGCTGTGTGTATCTTTAATCCAAATAAGATGATGTTGTTTGCTTTAATTAATTGAAAAGTTTTGTCCTGACCTTCTTTATACAGAACCTTGAGTGAACAATTTTGGATGTCTAAGATCTCTTGAGACAGAGGTCTATCTTGTATTCTTCTTGTGCTTTATTTTCATGATTTGGAGAATGTTTGAATTCTCAGATTAAGGCTATATCAAGAGTAATTCTTTAAAATGTTCCTACATATTGACATTCTTTTAATCCCATCAGTCTTCCCCATGTTTATCCTGATTAGGATTTCTCTTATTTGACACTCAAACAAAAAGTAAGAGATTGAAGGGTAATGTGGTGTTAACACACTTATAATCTATTACCTATAGCATTTGGGCCTCAAACAAATGTCTGCATAGGTCTTGGAAGAAATAAAAAGCAAAATGGTGCTGTGCAAGCTAATTCTTCGTTTTGTCGTAATATTTCCAGAATTGCTGTCATGAAGCTTTCAACACGAAGCTTGACATTCAAATTGAAATCTCAAACTGCTACTGATATTGGAGAGGAAACAGAAAAGGATTAGAAGAAGAAATAGTAGAGAATTTTTTCACTAAATCTATTCTGGATTATATTATGTACTTGGGTCTTGTGGTAGTGATATGTTTAATGCAAATTGACACAATAATGAACTTTGCTGAACAGATATTATAGTACTATGAATTTCATTGATATCTATATATCCCTATCTAAATTCCATAATTTCACATAATAAAATATATTTGTATCAATTGTGTTGCACAATTAATCTTAGATACTTTAACTACAGTTTGTCTTAGTTAAGAATTTCAAGAAGGGTTACTTCTTGCAGTCTTGGGCGTCTCCTGTTTTTTCATGTTAATTTTGGGACTTCTTTAAAATGGGATTGATTTTCGGAGGTGGAAGTACTCACCTGCTTTCTGTAGGGCACATATTTCAAAGGTTTCTTTTTCTGGTGTTCAAGCACAGAGATGCTCAAAATTTTCATTTGTTTTTGAAAAATCTTGATGATACCACGTGTTCATATTTTAAAGCACACAAAATTTTCTGAGCTGACGTACAACAAATTGTAGAGAGGGGCATCATGAAGCTGGATAGATCAGGAACTTGTAAGTGAATTCTCAGTATTTTGGAAGTGTTGAGAGGATAAAGGATAAAAAACTGTGTCCTGTAATTATCAGATTACTTTCCTGGTGAATATGTTGCAGAAATTATTTTATTTTTGCATATGATTATTTTTTTTAAAAAATCTCTATTCTGTGAGCTTATGTTAGAAGGGGCTGAACCTCTCTAAATCATTGAAGCACATGAGTAATTCCACTTACATTAACAATACTTTTTCAGCATCTGCTTAGATTTATATACATGCTTAAGTACTCTGTTGGGAATTAAGCGATGTGGGTTTGGATAGCCTGATATTGTTATTTCTGTTGTCACTAAATATACATAAAGTGAAAGTACAAAACCCTATCAATAATATCTGTGTTGCTCTACTCCCGTTTGTTTCAGAATAATAAAGTTTTCCTCTTTGAAAAATTATTTATTTTATTCCCTTACCAGCATCATAGTACATTATATTAGTCCTTGATTTAAAGTATTCCTGAATACTTTCTGAAAATGAAAACCAAATATATGCTATCTATTTGTTCCCTGATTATGTGTAACCTGAAAGAAATTCAGAAGGTAGTGAAGCATGACCTTTCATTCCTGAGGCAATATTGTCTATCCTTCATCAAGCTGTGCTTTTCTAAATGGTACCCATTTAATGTCCAAAAATGCTTTTTAAGATTCCCTCCTCCCAAAAGGCATCAAAACTAAATGGTCTGTAATTTCCTGAAGTGTTCCTGGAGTCCATCTTCAATAATGACATTATGTTGGCTATTTTCCAGCCATCAGGTCTTTTTCTGAATAGAACAACTTTGTAAAATGTCTGCAAAACTTGAAATAATAACACCTCTGCTTTTTTTCCCTTTTTAAAAAAGAAATATTAAATATTGTTAGCTGTTTATTAGTGGTATGCTGTTATTAAATGTCAATGTATTATTATAACATATTATAGATGAATTATTTGTTTTTCTTTCCCAAAACCACTTAATCTAGAAAATACTCATTTGAGGTATTTAATTTGCCTATAGTAAATGTCCTTAAAGTGAGGTATTGTTTTATAAATAGCAGAAGAGCTATAAAAAATCCAACAAGAAAATTAACAATAATACAAAAGAGCTAAATCATTTTGTTTAATGCATTATCTTTTAAACTGAAAGACAGTGTTCATGGAACAGATTTGAAAGGAAAATTAGCAGAAAGTTAGAGCTATCCTTGCTATTTAATATATATTAATTTCTTTTTAAGTGCTTCAAAACTAAGATACAAAATAAATAGGAGAAAAATTAGATGTAGGACATGTACAACAATGCTGCTTAAAAAGGTGGATATTAGAAATGCTTCTAGTACACTTGTAGATGTCACAGCCTGTATTCTCTATGTACACAGGGCAAAAGCCAATAGCTTGCTAACACAGGCCCTGAATGGTCATCGCACAGGAGTTTAAGCCTAACTGTTCTACGTCCATATAACAGAACAGTGGTTACTGCCCCACAGAACCCACGTTTGAAATATCGGAAGGGAGAAAAATCTGGTTATTGCAAAAAGAGGACACAGGACAAGAGTTAATCACTGCTGTCAATCACTAGCAGTCGCTATGGAACTACTTTTGAGGGCTCCTCATTAAGTCAGTGCTAACTGACTGACCACATACATCCTCCTGTCTGAACCAAGTGCAAGGTAAAATATGTTATGTGAAAACTGCTTTTCATCAAAATAAGGCTATGTGCATATATGGTCAATTGCTACAGCTCAGTCGATGCTCAGCACTTTGGTAAGAGGTGGTACTGCAAGTTGTTTAAGCCTTGTGTTTTGATTAGTAATTTTTGTGAAGTTTTTGGTGGTTTGTTCAATACATTCCTCCAGCACTTCATTTGCAATACAAATTTTTCATTTTAAATAATTCATACTTAATTACAGTAGTTGTCAGTTTGTGTGGTCCTTTTCATTCTTGAAATGCTTTAGAAGCATTAATTCCCATAAAGTTTTGAGAAGCAATTAAGTATTAATGTTCCATTTTTACAAACAAAAACCAGAAAATACAGAGGTTGGGCAAACATTTCAGAGCATCAACTGTAAAATTAGGCACTGACTAGATAGAGACATGATCTAATTTTCAGAGGCACTGAAGACATTTGCATATTCAGAATGGAAACTTTTGTCCTAATAGCTAAATTCATAAAGAATCTTGGATACCATATTACTGAGCATTACAAGTTTGTAACTACTCAAGATCAAGATATGGGAGGAGTTCATTAACTCAGAATGTTTACAGCAGGTGAGCAAGAAGCTGCCTAAACTAACATAAAAGAAAGACTGATTTCCAGATTCTCACAATTCCAGCTGTATAAATAACCCTTTACAAACTTCCCTCCATGTGGTCTGAAGAACTCCACATCCTTTTCTGGCATGAACTGCTTAAGTCATTTCTGAAGAAAAAGGAGATTGAGAGAACTGGGGATTGTATGATCTATTTCCTCACAAAACCAGGCAAATTTTAGGACTGCTATTTAACAGCTCCAACAACCAATGTAGGATTTGTGTCCCAAGAAGAGATTTCAGCTTAACAATGAAGCCGTTGAGAGCTGTGGTTTTGACCTTGCTTTTGGTTTTGACCTTGCTTTTTCTTTCATTCTGAGGAGAAAACTGAACCTGGGAGAAATACTGTGATCACCAGAGTATGGTACAAAAAGCAGGTCAGTATGTGACTTTATTTTAAATAAAATAAATATCTAACACTGAGTTTCACACAAAAGCAGTGTCCAAGATACACACTTCACATGCTCTGAGCACAGCTACTCTTTCAGGATTCTCAAAAGGCATGGATGGGATGCACCCAGTTTCTCGCTGTGAACAAGAGAAAGTGTGCATGAGGCGGGTGTTCTGCTGCTGAGCGTTTGCGAACACATATGGAGAGAAATACTGAAGTAGTGAGAATTTTAACTGGTAGTATCTCTGGCCTTTGGAACTGAGTTTCAGCTTTGAAGAGTTTGACAAGAGTGGTGTTGAGACTGTCACAATTATACACCCTAAGGGTATGTCTATAGTGATAGTTATTCTCAAATATTTTGAGTCCCATGAGCCATTATTTCTTGTTTGCATCATATATCTATGGGCTGTTTGGTGTAAACCAAATTTGTTTGCATTCATTTTTATTTCGTGAGCATAGAGGTAAGATTTATCCCAAATATCCTTGTGGGACAGTGCTGTGAATCATTTAGCAGCCTTGTTTTTTCTTCTAGGCGAGCTGCCATTTATAAATAGTAAAGAAAGCAAGGAAGTACAGAAAGAGTCAAAAGCAAACAATGGACACATTCATGGTGAGAGTGTACAAGTATCTTCTGATGTGAATTTCTGAGGAAATGTAGAAAGGCATGGCATAGTATTGTCAGAGGCATGAGTATTGTCAGAGCAAGCTTCATATGCTGAAGTGTGGCAGAGCTTGCAGTACTGCAGTAGACGGCCGATGATCATGTTTACATGTTCACAATTCCTAAAAAATTGTGGGTTCAGGACTGAAGGTGACTGTAAAATTGACCCCAGTACAGGCATGACTGGAGCAAATTATCTAAAGCTACAGAGGGGATTTGGAACCAGAGCTAAAATCAGATGTTAGATTTTCTAGCTTCTTCCGTCTGTAGCCCAGGTCACTGCACTTTACTTCTCCAACAAGCTCAATCAAAACATAGAAGTTCAGCATTACACTCACTGTTTAAGAAAAATCACATAACAATGAAAAATGAGTAATAATTGATGTGAAAATTGTTGAGACATTTATATACATACGATTAACAAAGGATTACATGCATTGATGAATCGGCAGTTTTAATAATTTCCAGTGTGATGAATATGCTAGAGTTGTAGATCACCAGGAAGAAGATTAATATTCTGTGTATAATTATACACATTTCTTCTCAATTCTTTTTTTGAAGACAGACAGCAAATAGGATTTAAAGCAACAGTCATTCACTTCACATGAGCACAAAGAAAATACATAGAGAACTGCCTGCCCCCCACACCTGCCAGCTTCCAGAATCTCTCTAGAAAACAATTTCTACTTAGTTTCCTGTCTACTCCCATCTTTCTCCCCTAAATTTGGTCTCGTGGCCCCACTCAACATCCTTCTTCCCTCTTTTTTCAGGGGCAGAGAGGCTCTTGGCCTGTGGCTGTCCAGTGCTGGATAGTTACCCTTTGCTGGCAGTGGTCTTACACTCTGTCCCTGGCATGCCCTACTGTAGCTGTGTGGTGACTCTTTCTGTGGGTCCGTTTGTAATGAAGCCTGCACTGGCTGAATAGGTTGAATTTCATTTGAAGCCATTTTGAGAGTATGCCTGTGTTCAGAGTCTTTGATGTTTTCCTCTTTCGTCAATGGGTGACACTGTACCTTCTTCTTGTACGTAATTACAAACTGTCCATCTTTAAACCTTTCTTGAAGCATGTCTCAGCATTTTTTCCCTGGCTCACCTGCACACTGCCTTGCCAGAACAGGCAATGATCTCTGCACTGATGTAGCGTTTTCAAGTGAATAGTCTCTTCCATCCATTTTCCATTTGAAAAGAAGCATATGGGCTTCCTACTGGGATGAGAAGTTGCCTGTCTCTATCTCAGCCATTTGACACTATTAAGATTAAACTTTGCTGTGTTGTTTTGTGT